GACTTCTTAGGTTATAGAAGTGTGTAATTAAACTTTGGGCCTGCTGGTGGGCCCTGGCCATTTAAGGGGTTGAAATATGCAGAAGTGTGTCCTCTGTAGAGGAAGTGTCAACTTATTTACACTCAGAAAATCAACAAAACATGTCGTTTGACCAGAGGCGGGTGCCAAAACTTTTGCACACAACTAGCCATGGGATGGATCTCTGTGAGCTGGCAACTTCGATTATGTGTGTCCAGACCTTTGACTGGTTCTGTAAATAAGAAGCGGTTCCACAGCTCTGTGAATACACGAAGCTTGGCAACAACATCTTGTGAAAGTGAATGGAACGACTTCATGGTGAGCGCATGGAGAAAGAATGGGAGCCACTAATAGCCTTCCTCCTCTATCTCTGCACTTCCTGTGAAGATGGCCTTTGGACTTGATTATACGCAGCAAGGATTTATAGCTAATCACTGTCCCAGAACAAGGAAAGACATTACAGCTGAAGATTAAACATCACTCTGAGCAGAGCAACAACAGGACCATTCATCCAGCAGAGCCATCCATAACTCAGAGACAGAGGAAACGCTGTTTCATTAGGCAGGAGCATTCTGCTGTGTTGTGACAATGAGAGTGGACAGACGCAGTGCATTAACCCTCTTCCCAGCCAGCCCGTGCCAAGACTGCCATCATGTGTCCAGAGGTACGGCTGCTCTAAACAGGTTTCTCCTAATCTGATTGTAGCCTTGTGGAAGAAACGACACAGTGGTCAGGTTGAGTGGACGGTAACTCATTTATCAGGGTGAGTGCGGTGGACGAGGACCGGGAGAGCGGACAAAAAAAAACCTAAATGGTCCCAGACGTCTTAACTTGTGAATTCAAGCTGGTAAAGAAGATAAACAGGCCCGGTATTTTGCCCTGCATGCATGCAAAAGTTTGTGCACCCCTGATCAAATGATACTTTGCTGACTTTCTTAGTGAAAATATAGAATGTTTTGAAGTAATTTTACTTAGAAAATCAACAAAACATGTAATCCGACTATACCCAAGTGTCAGCTAAAGGGGTATAAAGCCCCCCGGCATTGGGCTGTGGAGCAGTGGAACCGTGTTCTCTGTAGTGATGGAGCTCCATCCATTACCTTTGGCATGAGCTAGAGTGATCCAGAACTGATCATCCAACATCAGTACCTGACCTCACTTATGCTCTTGTGGCTGAATGCAACCAAATCCTCATAGCAATATTCCAACATCTAGTGTAAAGGCTTCTGAGAAGAGTAGAGGCTGTTACTGTTATTGAAACCAGAAGAAACGTTGGATATGTGTAGTAACCTCCTTGTCTTTCACGCTCAGCTTTTCCTTTCTTATAATCCCATCAGCCATCATTCGTTAAGATTCTGACATGAACTTCGGAGCCCCACCCACTCTGCAAATTCAATTATATCATCTCCGTGATGAGATTCATTTTTAATGCTTTCCGTGTTTAAACTTGTCTCATGTATCTCAGAATCCAGAGAGAAAAAAAATTCTCCCTCACTCCCATGAGAATTAGATGGCCGAATCGCCCATGAGGCCTGGAGGGAGAAGCTAATGAGGGAGCGCTGGCTGTAACGGTCAATTTTTTTGCCATGCCTTCAAGGTAGATGCGCTTGTCATTACATATTCATACATTTGCTGTGACGTCACTCTCTGTGTTTTTTAAGGCGGCATTCAAAACTGTATATTACCATACAAATAGTATGTAAAAATAGCACACCACCATTAGCAGCATGTTCAGTAGCACAGAACATATACTATAGGATAGCATAATATAGTACAGCATAGCATAGCATGGTTATGTATAAGTATAATGTATATAGTATGGTATTGTATAGCATAGTGTTGTGTTACTCGGTATAGTATAGTATAATATAGTGTTATATTATACAGTGTAGTATAGTATAGTATAGTATAGTGTTGTATTATACAGATAGGATCGTATAATATAGTGTTGTATTATACAGTATAGTATAGTATAATATAGTATAGTATAGTATAGTATAGTGTTGTATTATACAGTATAGCATAGTGTTGTATAATACAGCATTGTATAGTATAGTGTTGTATTATACAGTATAGCATAGTATAATATAGTATAGTCTTGTATTATACAGTACAGTACAGTATAGTATAATATAGTATAGTGTTGTATTATATAGTATAGTATAGTGTTGTATTATACAGTATAGCATAGTACATAGTTTTAAATGCAGTCCTAGAGTTAAGCTGTAGATGTTGCAGTGCAAATGAAAGACACTGAAATCGTCTATTCTTTTCATGTATTTCACAGTCCTTTTAAAGGAGAATTCCACAATTTTTTCAAAATTTCTGTAAAATGAAATGTAGTAGAATGTTGAAGAAAAAGCTCCATTCTATAGAGAAACAGAATTGTTCACAGTGGTGGTGATAGGAACCAGACATCTCAGGAGTTTAATGCATTAAAGCCTCTCTTTCCTCAAAGAAAGTTATTAAATAAACTGGTTATCAATATGTTGCCTGATGCCTAAGACACTGTTTTACGATAGTTTCCAGAAAAGATTTTGGCTTAAAACATATTTTTAAAATCCATTTATACAGAGGGTTTTGAGATATTTTTTCAGAAGTACCACTATTTTATCATTATCAACATCACATATAAAACTTAGAAGATATGTAGGGTCACTGGTCATTTTGGATAGTAAATAAAATGGTTGCCATTGCATTGTGAACATTGGGACACCTGGTTCCTATCATGACCACTCTAAAGATATTGCTAACTTTCTCTACAGTGTAGCATGAATTTGTTTTTAACCTCAACTATTGAAGCGTGCAGAATATTGTGAAAAAAGGGGAATTCTCCTCTACGAGGAAAAGGATTATTTAGATAAGTAATGATGAACCTCATAATAAGTCATTTTAATCATTTAACACCTTAAAACTACTATAATTGCTTCAGTCAATTCAGTCAATGAATACACACTGCACATCAGACGTAGAGTGTAGCTCAGCATAGCGTTGTTTAGCAGAGTGCAGCACAGAACACATCACAGTGAGAGCGCTAATAAACATCAAAATCAAGTTCATTTTACACTCTACTCATAAATAGTTAGTGAAATAAAACTATCAACATCATTTACTGAATTTATCACATTTCAGATCAGCTGACTAGCTCTTCACAAATCCAGTGTTTTCAAGATAAAAGAAATGAGGTGAAAAAACTAGGCTAGTAATATTAGCTGAGGTAACAGAGCATTAGCGTTCTTCTGTTTATCTTAAAGATTTTACCTTAATTGCCTTTCTTGTTGGAAATTTCCAGACATGTCACATACTGGCATTTTTTGTAGTCATGTTCTGGCTTTGATTTAATGTAGTAATAGTAAAATGCAGAGTGGCACTCAGAGAAATTGTGTTGGAAGTCACTAACTAGTGGCTCACATCAGTGCCCAATGTCAGCGGCGGCTAATAACGTTATCTGAGGTAACAAACCATCAGCACTTGTCTGTTCATCTAAAAGATTTTAGAGTGACTGCCTTTCTTGGGGTAAATTTCAAGCTACCAGCAATTTCTAGGATCTCATTCTGGGTTTTATTTAAGGCAGTAAGAGTAAAATGCTAAGTAGCGGTCAGAAAAATTGAACAATGAGTGCATTTACATGCACTTAATAATGCAATGTTCATCAGCTTTTGGCAGTTATTTGATTATTCAAGAGGTCATGTAAACAGTATGCTCCGATTTCTCTGATTGGATTAAGGCCTAGAAATCCAATTAGAAAATCCAGGTTTCTCAGTGTATGCATACCCTTACTCTGATTTCTTTCAGATTTCTCATTCTGTACATGTGTGTAAACAAACATTCTCTTGGAAACAGCCAGCAGAGTTTAACAAAATGAAGAACTTGAATATTTTTTATCCTCTAGATGACGTAGATTAACATTTTCTGCTAAAGTGATTCGATGTTTTTGAAAAAATGAGATTTACGTTACGTTCACATCGCATCTTATTCTGGGAGTTTTTCGGCCGGTTGCAAAGCAGAAATCTGATTACAGCCTGACTCATGTAGACCAGGAGTTTTCCCATTATCTGATTACCCAAGCACATGTCAACACATTGAATGGGTAACTGACGAAATCTGATTTTCTGCAGTTATCGGATTACTAAGCACATGAAAACGCACTCAGTGTTGGAAGTCACTGGTTAGCGGTGCAATGTATGCACTTTCATCACGAACAGTGGTTCTGAATTTTTGGACCCTGTGGTGAGTCCGGTTGGTGCTGGCCTGGACAAGTTTAATTAAGACTAATGCGAAGATTTTCAACCATATTTTAAAGGATAAAAAGTAAATATTCATTGCACTCTTCTTGGAATTAGAAATCCCCTGTTATAACATGGCCATGGACAAAAAGGCTACTTAGATTAACCCTCTAATAGAGAAGGAGTTGGACAATCATTGAATTTCCTCTTTCTATTTACATAATACCACTTTTAAAAGTATCAGCACATATCAGTAGGTATCAGGATAGGCAGCCTTTTGTATTCCTCAGTATCAGATCATGAAGACAGTCAGCGGTATCGTCCGTCCCTGCTCATCACAGCAGTCTGGATCGGAAGCGTTACAGAGCATCAGAAATAAACACCCCCGCTGCCTGCTTCCATTCATGCTGGGAGACGGGCAACACCGCAGGAGGCGTCACGGACACGGCAGCCACCTGTTGATACATGCAGCTCTGCTGCTGCTGTGTACACATCACCACCCGGTTACTTTGCTCTCTGATCAATCCTGCTGTGGTTTGCATGTGCAAGAATGTGCAAGAATCATGCCAGCAAAGCTGACCGGCTTGTCAGATTTCTGAGCGACATTAGTGGTCATTTTGACATCTGTGCATGCTCTACCTGCCCACTTCTTCACACTTTTCCCAGCAAAGAGCCAAAAGACATACAAGAACAGACAACTGTAGTTCAGAATAATAACCACAGACTTTGGAAAAATCTGAAAAGCGATGATCTTACCTTACATTTGGGTCAGTTAAGCTGTTGCTGGTCACTTCTCTTCTGATACTCGCAAGGAGCAGCATGAAAAGCAGCCCCTCTCTCTCTTTCTCTCTCTGTCTACCTCTCTCTCTCTCAGCGCTGTCCGTGTGAATGGCGTAGAGGAAACATCAGCTTGTCACAGGTGGCTGAAACTCTAAATTGAAGCACTCTAGCGCTCGCTGATGGACAAAACATCGGAGAGGGAGAGAAAGAGGGAGGGAGGGAAGGAGGGAGGGAGAGTGCGTGTGCGAGTGAGAAAGCAGCAGCTGCAGGCTAACACTAATGCAGTCAGTCGGCACAGCAACATGTGGTTATAAAAAGTAGCCCAGTCTGGCGCTGATGCTGCTGCTGATGCTGCTATGGCTGGAGTTGGGGGCATGATGGTGGGAGGAGAGAGGGACGAGCATCCGTCCATCCGTCCATCCATCCACGACTCCTCCAGCCCACCCCCAATCCCCCCCACCACCACTTCCCTCCCCCTCCAACCCCTCCACCCCTCCCCTAACCTCAATCAGTGACGATGGAGCCTATTCATGTGTCCTTTTTGATAGCCGTTCGGGAGGTGTGTGGTGGTGGGGGGGGCACTGGGGGGCTCTAAATGAAATGCAGCAGCATGTATGGAGAAAGAAAGAGAGCGATGAGCGCCGATAGAGGAAAACATAAACATAAAGCACGCCTGGATCTGGCCTCCAAAGACAGCCAAGCTATCTTTTATCTGATCTCTCTCGCCCTCTCTCTCTCTCTCTCGCTGATTGCTGAGCCCCAAACGTCCACTTTCATGATTTTCATGTGGTGGTTTTCTTCTCCTCTCTCTCCCTAATTTCTCTCTCTCTCTCTTTTCTCACTCTCTCTCTCCCTCCCCTCTCTTTCTTCCTTCCTTTTCTCCTTTTCCTCCCCCTCTCCTTCCCTCTCTGTCTCTGTCTGTCACACTCACACACCATTTCCCTCTCTCTCCCCCTTTTGTTTATCTCTCTTTCTCTCTCTCTCTCCTTTCCCTTTCTTTTTCTCCCCATTCTTCCCTCTCTCTCTCTTTCTCTGTTTTTTCTCCTTTCTTTCTCCCTCTTCTCTTTGTCTTTGTCTATCACCCCTCTGTCTCTCTTCCTTCTTTCCAGTCTCCCTATCTTCCTCTCTCCATCCCTTTTTTCTCACTCCATTTCCCTCTCTTTTCTCAGTCTTTGGCCCTCTCCTCCCATTATTTCTCTCTTCACCCCCTTCTCTTTCTCTTTATTCCTTTTCTCTCACTCTCCATTTCCCTCTTTTTTTCACTCTTTTCTCCTTCTTTTTCTGCTCTTTCTCACTTTCTCTTTCTCTCACCCCCTTTATCTTTTGTCTTTTCGTTTTCTTCTACTTCTGTCTCCTTCACTCTCTCTCTTCCTTCCCATTCTCTCTCTCCCCTTCTCTATATCTCTCACCATTTCCCTCTCTTTTCTTATTCTTTTGCTCTCTCTCTCCCCCACCTTTGTATTTATCGCTTCTCCTTTTTGTCACTTTATCCGATATTTCTCTCCTTTTCTTCTGTCTCTCTTTTTCTTGTCTCTCTATCTTTCCCATTCTCTATTCCCTTCTCTCCATCTCTTTTTCTCCCCCTTCATTTTTCTCTATGTCTCTCTTTTCCTCTCCCTCTCTTCCTCTTTCATCACAAATTCTTTCCTTCCTTTATCCTCTTCTCCACCTCTTCTCTTTTTCTCTCACTCTCTCCACCATTTTCCTCTTTTCTCATTCTTAATCTCTCAACCCTCTGTTTCTCTCTCAATATCCCCCTTCCTTTCTTTTTCTTTGTTTTTCCCTGTCTCTCTCTCTCATTCTCTCATCCCCCCCGTTTCTCCCTTCTTGTTTCCTCTTTCTACCTTTTCTCTCTCCCTCCCTCATCCTCCCCCTTCTCTATCACTCCATTATTTCTGTCTCTCTTTTGCTCTCTATTCCCCTTTCTATTTCTCTCCCTTTCCCCCTGTCTCTCTCTCTCTCTCTTTATCCTTCTTCTTTTTCTTTCCTTTTTTATGTCGTCCTCCCCTTCTTTCTCTCTATTTCAGTCTCTTTTCTCAATCTAATGCTCTTTCTCTCTCCCTCTTTCTATTTGTCTTTGTTCCCCTCTTCTTCTCTATAGCCCCCTTTTTCTTTTTGCTCCCTTTCTCTGTCTTTCTCCTCCCTCTCCCTCCTTTTCTCTCTCCCTCTTGTTTCTAGCTATTTCTCCCTCCCTTCTCTCTCCCTTTCTCTCTCATTCTCTCTCTACTTCCCACTCTCTCATTTTCTCTTTACCCATTCTCTTTCTCCCACCCCCTCTTTCTCTTTCTTCCCCTTCTCTCTCTCTGTCTCCCCCTCTGTCTCTCTCCCTCTCTCTGCCACCCTTTCTTTCCTTCTCTCCTCTTCCCCCTTGTCTCTCTCTCTCTATCTCCCTGTTCTGTCTTCCTGTCTGTCTCTCTCTCTCTCTCTCTCTCTCTGCCCCCGTCTCTCTCTCTATCTGCATTTTTGCGACTGTCTGATTCGTCTGTTTTTGCAGAGGAGGTAACCATGACAATCAATATGGAGCCTCTAGAGCTTCTTAAAGACAACAGGTTGAGGTGTGTGTGTGTGTGTGGTGTGTGTGTGTGCGTGTGTGTGTGTGTGTGAGTGAGGTAGGAGGTTTGGCTTATCTCGGATTCACAATTCAATTAAATGTTTCTCTTCCTCCTCACCCCCTTTCACTTTCTCTCTCTCTCTCTCTCTCTTTCAGTCTCTCTCTTTCAGTCTCTATCTCTCTCTCTTTCTCTCTGTTTATGTCTACTTCTAACATCACATCCTTTTTTTACAATAATGTTCGATATCTTTGAATAACGTGCATTAAGGAGTCTCGCTGCGTTTTATCATCAGTGATAAACGTCTTCATCAGATCCTGAGATCATTATCAGAACGAGGACAGCAGTCCTACCTGCAGAAACGCTGCAGTGATAAAGCTCCTTTCCCTTTTCAGCAAATTAGAGATCCTCACCTGTGACTGTGATTTGATGCAGAACAGCACTTGTCAGTGTCCTTTTATCAGTCTCTCAGGAAACATCTGAATCATTTTAGAGGAGGCTGACTGATCAGGGCCAAACAGAACAGCACAGAACAATCCAGAACTCATAGGCTCAGAGCAGGGAGGCCTACCATTATTATTAGACCAGTTCTACAGAAAAAAACATAAGAATGAAGCTCTGAAAGGCAGCCAAGCTGTGAAAAGTGATGGTAATGCTTAGATTTCTCACAATACATTTTCAAAACCTATATATTACAATTTGTGGTAAAAACAAGATCATAACAAGATTACACACACATTAACAAGAGCACAGGTTAACATTAACCCAAGAACCAGTGCAACACTCCCTTATAAAGCTTGTGGTCACTCTTTACAAGCACATTTACCCCAAAGAAAACATCAACTAAAATCAGACAGCTGAGCGATGCACATAAAAAAGAAGACAAGCAGCCAAATTAAAAACCGAAGCCATCAAGCAAGCTAAAGCACACTGCCAGAGCAGGCGTCGAAAATGACTTTTTTCATTTATATCTTACCTTTGAAGTAAACAGTTCTCAGACCTTCGGCTGACATTTTTATTTGCCTTTTAAGATGGACGTCCTCTACTCTGTCAGAGTTTCAGGCCATTCAGATCCATCAGGCACATCTTTTGTACATCTGGAGCTTCACATTCAAAGTACATTCACAGGAATGCTAGCTCTGTGTAAAAAGTCCTTAAAGATTGTGTATTATTTTGCACGTGCCCATATCCACTTTATTGTTTTTTGTGACTGCTGTATTATGAGATTATGGTCATCACGTCCAGTTGGGGAGCAGAAGTGTCATTTATTCCTGTTTTGGCTAAGTTAAGGCCTCAGCAGACGATGTTTGCTTGGCTTCAGCGAACAATATGATGTAATTGCGGAGAAAATGAACAACCGCAGACGTCGCGTGGAGGATTCGTTCGCCGTGTCGCTCACATGGCAGCTGGGCGAACTCCGTGGACTAAGACGTTACATGACAAAGCCTCTGATTGGTCGGTAAAAAAGAGGCGTGCCATTAAACAAAGCTTCGGCTCTGGCGGACACACTAATATTTCACTGTGAAACGCGCATTTGTTAAATAAACAATGAATACCTCCTAAATGTAAGATATTAAGTCTATTACTCTGTAGTACTAACCAGTACTAAGCACCAAAACATACAGGTAATCTTTTATTTAGGTTCACAAGAGGACGAGGCTGAAGTTGGCTTTCTGTTCACCAGCTTCTTGTTCGAATTTTCCCGTTCCACCTTAAATGGTGGCAGTATTCTGAACTCAAATGTCGCCATAGTTAGAACAGTGAAAGAATTGTTTTCCAGCAGTCGTGAAACTTATCATAAAATGTCATAGCGATGTGGAGTGTCCACGACACGAAACCGCAGAAAGTATGCGAGGTTGTAAGCTCGTGAAGGCGCTTCGCACAACCCTCGAGAATTTAGTTTTGCAAGAAGTGTGCTGAGGCCTTTAGAGAATTTTGTAGCGAATAGAATTGCGACTCAGTAATGTCTTTCAGGTTTGTCGAACGCCAGAGGGCGCTCCCGAGTGAGCCCAAAATGAATGGGTTAATATGAAGCATTTGAGCAGAATCATAGTTTGTAAATGCTTCAACATTTTTACGCAGAAGAATGTATTCATTTCCTGAACACAGAGCAACATAAAACATTTTAACACTGCTATTACATTTTAACTGCTTTTGCATTCCAGTTATAGGACTTTATAACGGTGCCTCATGTACGTTCAAGACAATAAACATGAACCACTTCACTCAGCCATTGAGCTGATTAGCTTGGCAACCAATCAGCACTCAGTAGCAGTAATGCTAACCAATCAGCACTCAGTAGCAGTAATGCCAACCAATCAGTACTCAGTAGCACTAATGCTAACTAATTAGCTCTCAGTAGCAGTAATGCCAACCAATCAGCACTCAGCAGCAATAATGCTAACTAAGTAGCTCTTAGTAGCAATAATGTCAACCAATCAGTACTCAGTAGCAATAATGCCAACCAATCAGTACTCAGCAGCAGTAATGCTAACTAATTAGCTCTCAGTAGCAGTAATGCCAACCAATCAGTACTCAGCAGCAGTAATGCTAACTAATTAGCTCTCAGTAGCAGTAATGCCAACCAATCAGCACTCAGTAGCAGTAATGTCAACCAATCAGTACTCAGTAGCAGTAATGCCAACTAATCAGTACTCAGTAGCAGTAATGCTAACTAATTAGCTCTCAGTAGCAGTAATGTCAACCAATCAGTACTCAGTAGCAGTAATGCTAACTAATTAGCTCTCAGTAGCAGTAATGCCAACCAATCAGCACTCAGTAGCAGTAATGCTAACTAATTAGCTCTCAGTAGCAGTAATGTCAACCAATCAGTACTCAGTAGCAGTAATGCTAACTAATTAGCTCTTAGTAGCAGTAATGTCAACCAATCAGTACTCAGTAGCAATAATGTCAACCAATCAGTACTCAGTAGCAGTAATGCTAACTAATTAGCTCTCAGAAGCAGTAATGTCAACCAATCAGTACTCAGTAGCAGTAATGCCAACCAATCAGTACTCAGTAGCAGTAATGCCAACCAATCAGTACTCAGCAGCAGTAATGCCAGCATCTACTGCCCAAACCTGTTTGCTGTAGAAAAACAGAAAAATACAGGTAAGTTTTCTTTACTTATTCAGTGAAATACATCCATGTACCTTCCAAAATTAAAGAAAGGTTCTGGTCAACTGGTTCAAAACTATTGTAGTTTCGAACCTGCTGTATCATTTAAGGAGGAATGGAAAATTCAAACAAGTAACCGGCGAAAATCTTTGTGGCACCCTGACGACGCCCACCTTACGTCTGGGAAAGCAAACACACCGGACAGTTCTGGAGTCATTTTACAAACATTTCAGAAAGTAGAAAACAACCTTCGAAGTAATCACAGAATCATGTGACTTACAGCTTGATACGCCATTGTTTATCCAAAAAACTCTTTTCAATCGCTCATTTTTGCATCTCAGCTTTGGCAATATTCTAACTTTTCCTCCTCGTCCTAGCATAAAATCTTTGCAATATTTGGGTGATTGTTTCAAATTTCAGGCTTTTTCCATACTTTGTGTTTTTTGGAGTTTTTAAAATTCACAAAAAACTACTGGATGGAAAACCTGCTAATGATGCACACAAAAGCTCTCTGCGTGTTAACAGCGCCCCCTGTGGATGATCTTTAGCACGCTAAACGTCAGGGTCTCCACGAAGTGCTTCACATCTAAAAGTGCAAGGAAATCTCACAAATTCTATAACTCTAAATTCTCTTTTTACTGTGCGTGTAAAACTTTTATCCGGTTACCTTTTATGTTTTATCTGAATGTGTTTATGCTTTAGGCCTACAGTGCTGGAGATATGAACCAGGGGCTGCGATGTTTACAACACAAATATTGCCATTTTATTTACTATCCAAAACAACCAATGAACCTACATGCGTCTTCTGAGTTTTTATAAGTAATGTTTATGATGATAAAATAGTTCTAAATCTGTAGGTTCACTGGTCGTTTTGGATAGTAAATAAAAAGGATATATTTGCTCTCTGTGTGTTCATCACAACCCCTGGTTCCTATCACCACCACTGTAAAGGAATCTGAGTCACTGAGTTTCTCTGCAAATGAACCATTTCACATCAAACCACTCTGAATGGCTTTGTTTACTCCTCAACCATTGGTCAACGCAGAGAACTTGAAAAAATGGTGGAACTACGCTTTAACGACGCATACGGACAGTTTATAACGCACATTGGGGTGATTTTGACAGGTAGGAACCAAGATCTGTTTACTGAAACCCTCCCGGCCAGCTGAAGCAGGAGCACGTGCCCGTTAGACGGCGAAGCCGAAGCCGGTGAAAGTGGATGAAAGTGCTCTGAAAAAGTAGTCGAAGTTGTGTATTAAGTGGTCAGAGATAACAGAAGGCTATGGCTACCGACTCGTGGGCTCTGGCCGTGGATGAACAAGAAGCCGCCTCCAAGTCGGTGAGAGAGTCGTTAACTCCTATTGCATCATGCGCTTAGTGCTAACAGGTTAGCTGAGGCAGGAGCTCGGGCTGCGTCCCAACCTGCGTGCTTGAGCACTAGGTTAACTAGGACGCTTGACTAGTGCTGTTCTTTACTATATGAGTTCTAAAAAGCTTAATAAGTGTACGTGACAGTCCTGTTCTAACTTAGCTCGGGCGCAGAATTGTACACATTAGTTTAAGCGTTCTAGCTGGGTTGTGAATAAGTGCGCATATTCACCAGAATCGACTTAACTTAGCACTCTAGTAATGTTTTGTAGGCTAATAATGTCCTCACTGAGAAATTAGCATTGCGGGTTTAAGGGGAACTGGCTGTACATCTAAACAGGCTGGGGATTAATGTCATGTAGATAACTAAGAGGCTGATTTGCCTTCGCATTCTCCGTCCTCTTATTGGAAATTTCCGTTCCACCTTAAATAATGCCACCGTTACATTCTGGCCCATATGACGCCTCTATTAGACTGCTGCATTATTTAAGGTAGAACGGAAAATTCCAATAAGGAGCCAATTTCAGCCTCGACAGAAAAGTGAGCTTTATTATTATACCACAGTCATATAACGTTATGTCTCAAGGCTGTGTCTCCAACACACACAAACTAGCTACACATAAAAGCTGTTATTGCCCTGTGAAGCATGAGTCATGATGACCCAGCAGGCAGAGCAGTACAGAATAGCCTGCTTTAATAAGGCTTTACTCTCCCCTTCTGAAAACAGATTGGAGCCCTGCGGATTAGAGAAAGACGAGTCATACCGAGAGCCGAGGCCAATGGTAATCAGGTTTTGTGTATTGCACATATATTTAGGTAGTATTTTATGATGTGACAGTAATATCAATAAAGCAGTCGTAATAACTGCAGCGTCTTGGTGCAGTATACCTTATATGTGAGGTTTTTCTCTTGTGCAGGAATGGCAAAACCTAGCGAGGATGGTGACAAATCTGATGAAGAGGAAAAAGGTGGGTGATTGCTTATTGTATGATGATTAGTTTTTGTGACGTACAGATGTATTGCTATGAAAAGCAATGAGTAGTAAATCCAAAGCCTTATATTTGTAAAAAGCTTATTTTAAATGTACAGTACTGTGACGACAACTCAGCGCTATGAGTCTGAAAGGATGTGTAGCTGTCAAGAAGCCTTTACTGAGAAAAGAAAATAGACAAATAAATCAGAAAATGTAACCAACTTCTAAACTGAACTTTGAAAGTGCAGAAAAATATCCCTGCAGATTTCTGTGGAGTTCTGTCCCAAAAGGAATATGTAATAAAAGCACAAGGTGGACACCTCTGTTAAATATGTTTTCTGTTTTTTCCTGATGCTGAAAAATTAATAATTTGAGTGGAAATTAAATAAATGAAAAGTGTTCTTTTGTTTAGTACTGTATACTGTGCCTTATTTTATCTGAAAACGAAGCTCATAGGTACCTCCTCTTTGGGCTGCCCAAAGTTGGATTTAGCATGCCAGAAATTTACCCTAAACCTAAACATAATTTTATGCTGTATATATATTAAATACTTATTTTCTATTTAAAAGCTGTGTTCTTAACACAGTATTTAATAACAAAATACAGCATATTGTTATAAATAAATATAGAGAAAAAAAACATTTGAAACCTACCTGTCTTCTTTATTTGTTGACTGTTTTGCTTTTTTGGCCCTCAGTCTTCCACACACATCACACTTGGCAGGTTTGGGACCACACACATCAATTATGTTATGTATTAATGTGCCAGGTTTTCAACATTTTATCAAAGCAGAAAGCCACTTGAGGCCCTGCATTTTACAGTGATTTCACCCGTCTTTGTGTTGTGGGAAAACCACGGTAACACACAATCTCTCATAGCTGACTGCTTTAGAATGTCACAAGACAGATCAAACAACACATACGGTGTGGCGAAACAAATATTCAGACATACAGTGCATATACTTCAAATATACACACAGTCTTTTATAGTCTTTTGTAAACTCTGTTTTGTAATCTTTTATAGATTGTTTGTTTCTCCTCAAATATGATTTTGTACTTCTAAATATGTGTTCATAAGCAAAAACAAAAACATTTAAAAAAACAAAAAGAAATTAATGGGGACAGTTGACAGAAATGCACGTCTAAAGTTATTTAGACAAATCAGAACTCTTTTGGAACAATGAGCTCGTCACGTGAAACAACAATCGAAATTTTTGGTAATAATTCATCTTGTTGTGTGGAGAAAAAGGGTTTGATTCCAAGAACCACATACCCACAGTGACATACGAAGGTGGAAGCATCACGATATGAGGCTACTTCTCTGCAGCAGTACTGGGGAATTACTCGTCATCAAGGGTGGTATTGCAAAAAAATAATATTACGATACTTCAAGAACTTTTCATGATGCACAATATACCACTGTTTTTTTTTGTTTTTGTTTTTTTAACATTTGATAAGTTGGAACAGATAAAAAATATACATATAACATCTAAAAAGCAATGCTATCAGTAACAATGAATACAATGATTTGTATTCATTGTTTCACTTTATTTCAATTCCAATTAAAGAGCACTAATTATGCACTTTTTGTAATAAAATATGCAGCTAGTCAGTGTTTTTAAGTACTGATGATGTCCAAAATATACTCAAAGAAGTGTATTGTGATGTGTTGTGACGTAATGCATCACGATACCAATAAATATAGTCATACTGTCCAGCCCTCCTTCAGGGGGACCCTCAGAACTTTGGGGAATTGGAGGTGGTTTGCTGAGAGGAATGGACAAAAACTGGACCACAGTGCTGCAAAAAGCTAATTACTTCTTACCATAGACGTCTCAAAGCTGTAATTGCCAACAACAGCTTTCTAACAACGTAATAATATTTTTTTACTTTATGGCGTAAAATTTTTTTAGATGTATATTTGTTTTTGCTTATGAATATCTACTTTTTGTTTATAATTATAAGCGCAAAGTCAAAAGGCATTATAATTGTAAAGTTGAAGTGGATATATGCAGCTCATTGTCTCCTCCCCAGTGAGTGCTGGGATAGGCTCCAGCACCCCCCGCAACCCAGGAGGATAAGCGGTTTAGATGATGAATGAATACACCAATCATGCATAACATTATGACCACTTCCTTGTTTCTACGCTCATTGTCCATTTTATCAGCTCCACTTACTATATAGGTGCACTTTGTAGTTCTACAGTTACAGACTGTAGTCCATCTGTTTCTCTGCATACTTTGTTACCCCCTTTTTTACCCTGTTCTTCAGTGGTCAGGACCCCCATGGGTCCTGGGAGGTGGACTATTCTCAACTCCAGCAGCACTGCTGTGTCTGATCCACTCTGACCAGCGCAACACACACTAACACACCACCAGTCAGTGTTACTGCACTGCTGAGAATGATCCACCTCCCAAATAGTACCTGCTCTGTGAGGGTCCATGGGGGTCCTGGCCAGTGAAGAACAGGGTAAAAGGGGGCTATGCAGAGAAACAGATGGACTACAGTCTGTAATTGTAGAACTACAAAGTGCACCTATATAGTAAGTGGAGTTGATAAAATGGACAATGAGCGTAGAAACAAGGAGGTGGTCATAATGTTATGCCTGATCAGTGTATGTGAAGTGGAAGTGTATTAAATATTAAATAACAAAAACAAAAGTGTTCCCCCTCCCTGTACATAAAACCAGTGAGCTCAGTTATAGCACAGTACAGTGTGGTTTAGAGAGTTTGTTATCCCAATTATTGTCGCCAAATGTGTGTCATAAAATCAGTGTTTTTTTTCCCCTCTGCTTCTCTGTTGTTTACGTCTTTTGGTTTAATGTCAAATATGTGTGAGGACTTTGTGCAGGCAGAGGGAACTGAACTATAAATATAAACACACCCTTAGGGGCTACATCTACAGGAGCAGATGATTTGGGCTATTTTTCCCCATTTTTTTTTTAACATGTCCGTGTCAGGGCTAGGGCAGCATGATCTGTTGTTTATTCTGTGCATCTTGGCCAACTTCCAGATGAGTTTCTTGTGGGCGTTTTCATGCATCAGGATGGTCACATAATCTGATAAACATAGTAATTCTGGTCAGAGCAATTGTGATTGATTCATTAAGGGTTTGTCACTGTGTTGTATGATTGCAGTGTGCAGCTGCATAATCTTGCTCATGGTAAACTTGTCTGTATCGAGCAGCCCTGGCAGGGCTACCACTTCAGGTTCATATTGTTTTAATGAGGTTTCATGGATTTGTGTTGTTGCATTCTAGAGGACAGAGCTGCACAGTCACTCCTCAATAAATTAATCAGAAGCAATCTTGTCAACAACACAAACCAAGTGGAGGTTCTTCAGAGAGATCCAAATTCACCTCTGTACTCAGTCAAGACGTTTGAAGAGCTGCGACTGTAAGTACCAATTTAGACATACCTTACAGAATCAGAGTATGTTATAGCTCATGCTGTTATGTCACCTACTGTTTTTGAAGTGAAAGAAATGTCCTTGAGTATGATGTGTGTGTATATCAGCAGCAGACTGATGTTTAGATCTGTCTGATATTTCAAACAGGTTTGATGTATTTATTGTACGACAGAACAGCAGAGTGTTTAGACAGTTCTGGGCTACTGGGCTAAAATGCCTGTTTTATTAATTTTGCTGCATTTATAAGCTTACAGGAATTGTTATATTTTTCTGTAATGTGAATCCAGGTGAGTCCTGGTGTCCCAACTTATGCATTTTAGAAATGTCTTTGTCTGCATCTACAGTGCCCTCAACAAATATTGGCATCCTGGTAAACATGAGGCTTTTTTACAGGCTGTAATGTAAAACATTCTTTATTGTTTATGCTTTTGATCTTTCATTCAAAATGTTAACAAAAATCTAACTTTTATTTGAAGTACAATAATTGGAAAAAACAATACAATCTTATCAGAAAATAAATATTGTTGGCACCCCTTCATTTAATACTTTGTGCTGCCTCCATTTGCAAAGATAACAGCTCTGATTCTTCTCCTATAACGCTTAATAAGGCTGAAGAACACATGGCAAAGGATCTGAGACCGTTCTTCCATACAGGACCTCTCCAGATCCTTTAGATTCTGAGGTCCACACTCTTCAGCTCTGTGGTGTTTGGGTCAGGGGATTTGGGTGGTCATTGCCAAACATTCATTCTGTGGTTAGTGAACTATTTATCTCTTGATTTTGAGGCGTTCTTTGGATTAGTGTCCTGCTGGAAGATCCAAACTATGGCCCAGTTTAAGCTTCCTTGCTGAGGCAAGGAATATTTTAAATGAAAGATTAATAGGATAAGTAGTTAAGAATATTTTTTACAGCTTATTTTGCCAGTATTTGTGTAGGGCACTGTGTATGTCTATATATTCACTTACCTTTCACTGTCATCCATCACAGGAAACCACCGCTTCTCCAAGGCGTGTATGGAATGGGCTTCAACAGACCCTCCAAAATCCAGGAAAATGCCCTGCCTATGATGCTGGCAGAACCGTGAGTTTCTCCTTATAACATTCAGGTCTGATCAGGAAGATCTTCATAACAGGGTAGAACCAATATGAAAATGTTGTCACCAATATCATTTTAAAGAACTTAAAAATACAGACAACCTATCATATTGAACACTAGGCTTATCATTTAATATGATCAAAAGTTACACAGAATACAGTAGTTTAGTTAAACAGTGCTTTACTGACTGATATGGTTGTACCAACTGTTATTATACAAATAACTGTTTTTTGTAGCAGTATTGAAAAATTGTAACTTACCTCAAATCACAAAACAAACAGCTACTATCTTGTTATCTTGATTGGAAGCACTGCTTCCGTGTTTTTATGTGATGGACATGCAAGGTTCAATATTCATGAAACAAGTTATTGGTGCCCTTTAATGCCAAAGCAAATAGCTCTACACTGCTTTGAGGAAAAATAGCATTTTTCATCATGTTACACCTGGCAGTAAATTGTGGTATGTCTGACTGCCATCCAGAATATACTATACGTCCAAAAGTTTGTAGACACCTGCTCGTCTAATGCTTCTTCTAAAATTAAGGGAATTAATAGGGGGTCTGTCTCCTCTTTGCTGCAGCAACAGCCTCTACTCTTCTAGGAAGGCTTTACACCATATTTCGAAACATTGCTGTGAGGATTTGATTGCATGCAGCTGCAAGAACATTAGTGAGGTCAGATGTTGATGATAGATCTCCATCACTCCAGAGAACTGCTCCACAGCCCAGTCTTGGGGGGCTTTCTACCCCTTTTCTACCTCTTTTTACCCCTTTAGCCAATGCTTGGATTAAGCTTGGTCACTTTAGGCTCATGTGTGGCTGTTCTGCATCACATTCTATTTCCAATGCTTTTCCATAATGATTTTACAAGCTATGTATGCCCAGTTGAGCACCTGTGTCAGGAGTGGGTGTACCTTTTGGAAATAAAGTGTTGACTGTGATGTATTTATATAACATTTAAAGAGACATTATCATGGACTTTTGCACAGATGCCAATAAATCAACGGAATCTTTTCATTTAATGGTTTTATTAGAAAAATGTATATCTGTCAAGGCATTCTCTATAATGATCAACAACCAAGAGCAGTAAAAACATCACCTACAGCAGTAAAAGTTTTTTATCCTCAGCATGGCTTCTTCTCCATTATCCTCTCTTTAGCTGGTGTGTTTCAATTGATTGCAGACCCCAGAACCTGATTGCCCAGTCTCAGTCCGGCACGGGCAAAACTGCTGCCTTTGTGTTGGCCATGCTGAGCCACGTCGACCCCACAAACAAGTGGACACAGGTGAGCAGTACTGTAGGATCATGTGGATTGAATTTTGATTGGTGGTCTTTACTAGAGATGTCCCCGACAAATGTTTTTTTTTCAGTCAGCTAGAAGGCCTGACTTGGAATCACCTAGTGCACCCGCATGGGGGATTTGTTTACGTTCTATGAGCCAATTAACAAGCCCTGCCTGCATTGAAGTGGGTGTGCCAACACCCTCGTCCCAACAGCGAGTGTTGAAATATAGTATTGCATTACAAAGCCTTCAGGATGTTGACAATGGAAGCATGAAGTCTGCACATCAAGTCAAAGTGTAAACAAACTACAGTTTATTTGCGTGAGTTTTGAACTACAAATTGGAAATGTGTCTTCAGTGAAAATCATTTTTTTAAGAAAGTTTAACTGCACATTCTGTATAACGCATTTTAATGCAATATTGGTATACAGAAAATTAAAAAAACTTCCAGCACTCTAGCAGTATCCCTAGTTTCTCCTCATCTGTTTTGACGAAAGGCGGCTGGCTTAACAGGTGTTCTTTTGTTAGCTGGAACGTAAGTGACGTTTTGAAAATAAACACAGGGCATCCGCATCATGCTCTGACGCTCGTGGCTGGTGTAAACAGCTTTGTTGATTATAATGGAAGCGTTCTGGTTTTGTTGTTGTCACTCACTTGCGTCACTATTAGGAAAGGTGTTAGAGCACAAAAACACTGAAGGACTATTAGTAAACAAGGGTTTTCTCTACGACAGGGCTGATTTATACTACTGCAAAGATAAATTTATTGCAGCACAGAGAAGGGGTTCATGGGTAAGCGTAGCTCACAGAGACCGCAACTGCAGAGCTGTGCGTCAAGAAAACACTGATTGACAGTCCTTGAACACTGGAAGTGGAACGAGACCCAAACGATACTCAATCTGACCCAGAACTAGTGCAAAATCAAAATGAACGACTTAAAATGTGCAGATCAAGGGTGTTCCAGGACCATGATTGAGAACCATACATATAATTGAAGATTAGTTCCTGTCTGAGTTGGTCTGAACTGCTTAACCAATAAACCAGAGTTGTACAGTACACTAATATTTGTATTGTGCTTAAAGCTGACCTGTATGTTTTGGTGCTGTGTTTCTCCGTTCCAGTGTTTGTGCATTTCTCCAACCTATGAGCTCGCCCTGCAGACAGGCAAAGTGGTGGAGCAGATGGGGAAGTTCTACCCTGAAGTGAAACTGGCGTACGCCGTTCGAGGCAATAAAAGTAAGGAGTTCGATGCTATACAAGCAGCACTAATTTTCACAGAGGTATTCCACAACCTGTGAACCTGAAATACATGTGTAACATCCTCTACCTTTGCTCAGTGGAGCGAGGCAGTAAGATCCAGGAGCAAATAGTTATCGGTACTCCTGGCACCGTGCTGGATTGGTTCCTGAAACTCAAGCTAATGGACCCCAAGAAGATTCGAGTGTTTGTGCTGGACGAGGCTGACGTTATGATAGCCACACAGGGCCATCAGGACCAGAGCATCCGCATTCAGAGGTGAGCGAGGCTTCAGTTTTAGGGGAACAGGCATATGTGGGAGTTTTCCTGAAAGGACTTTAATCAGTCTTTTATAGTTAAAAGAATGGTTTGGCAAAAAATCTCATTTACACAATTCACACATGTCTGGTGTCCTTTAGTTTTGCACTGGAACTGTAAGGCTAATGTTATTAGCAAGTAATACATGTTATGGAAACTTAATTAACTCATACATGCCTCATATAACATTAATTAATAAGTATTGTCTAAAATAACTTGAAGTGGTTTCTAAAAAGTGTATGACATACCGTCCTCTATAAAAACTGACAAAATTCAGGCATACAAATACCTGCATTATCATTGTACGAGTATAATGAGATTCAGTGTGCGCATCACTTTGCTAAGCAACATATGGTTACCTGTTTTTAGAAGTAACTGTATGTTACACCTTATTTGTGTTTTAGGGTCAATTTCCTGGACATGGATTAAGCCTAATCTTAGACTAAATTTCAGTGCCAGTCTGGGTCTGGGAAACCAGCCCTTAACATTTCACTGACTAAAGCGTCTGTTCTGTCCTTGTTCTGCAGGATGCTGCCCAAAGACTGCCAAATGCTGCTCTTCTCTGCTACCTTTGAGGACTCAGTGTGGAAGTTCGCTGAGCGGATCGTTCCAGATCCCAACGTAATCAAACTGAAAAGGGAGGAGGAAACCCTGGACACCATTAAGCAGTATTATGTGCTCTGCAATAATAAAGAGGACAAGTTTTCTGCACTCTGTAACATCTATGGGGCAATCACCATCGCACAGGCTATGATCTTCTGCCATGTGAGTCTGACCTTGCCATCTTGATTACTGCCTGTTTTGTAGTTGTACTGATGTAGTCCGTATAAGGATAAGTAATTCAGTTATTCTCTGGATTAAGCCTTAGTAAATCACATACAGGAGGGCAGTATGGTGCTAAGTTGTGTTTACCGTGATACATTATGTCACAGTATGCTTTTCTGAGGAAGTCATGGGTACGCTTAGTACTTTGAGAACAATGAACAACTGCACATATTGAGATCAATGATAGTTATAACAGCTGCATAAACTGCATAGTAACAAAGACAGTGATTGGATGTTATCCCATTATGACATCATCTTATTTATATTAACCGTATTATAACAACTGTTTGTTTTTTTTTCCCTGTTCCTTTTTAATTAATTTACTTTTTCAAATGGTGAATAAAATAAAAAGTTAAATATACTCCTATTTTTCATAACTTTTGAGTTATTGGCACTATGGTTTGCTGGTGCATTTTGCTATTCCAACTTGTCTGCAAATTTAAAAAATCTTAATATAGTCATATGTCATGTATAGTTGAAGTGATGTTATTTTTTTGCCGTATTGCTCACCTTGCACGTCATTTTGTGTTCTTGCTTTAGACTCGAAAGATAGCAGCCTGGCTGGCAGGGCAAATGTCTAAAGAAGGCCACCAGGTGGCACTGCTGAGTGGTGAAATGGTGATCGAGCAAAGAGCGGCTGTCATTGAACGCTTCAGAGAAGGCAAAGAGAAAGTGCTGATAACCACTAATGTGTGTGCAAGAGGCAAGTTCACCAACACCTGTTCACTGTGCTGCAAGGTTGTTTGAAATGTTTATAGTGTTATTTTCCCCCATGATTTCCCAGTAGTTACTAGGAAACAAGTTAGCAGTTGTTACTATTACTGCCATCCGGCATTTGTATAGGATTTGCTAATTAAATTCTGTACAGTACCTTGAACCATGTTTTGCATTTGTGTAATGTACAAATCAGAAGATTTTCACAAGGTCCCAAATACTTCCTCAAAGTAATTCATTGATGTTCTACTTAATACTGTTTCTGGTGGTCATCAGGCATCGATGTGGAGCAGGTTTCTGTGGTGATCAACTTTGATCTGCCACTGGATAAAGATGGAAACCCAGACAATGAGACATACCTCCACAGGATCGGCAGGACAGGGCGCTTCGGCAAACGAGGACTGGCCATCAACATGGTGGACAGTGACCACAGCATGGATGTTCTCAAAGCAATTGAGAAGCATTTCAGTAAGTCACTTCATTCCCATAAATAGATTTTTTTGCCATAATTGATTTTCTCTACCAACTGAGTATTAATTTTCACTTTGGCTAAACTACTGAATTTGGTTCCTTTGATTTTGCTAAATCCATAAATGTGCTCATCTTGTACTGATCATTGTCTGTTTTCCACAGATAAGAAAATATTGAAGCTGGATACAGATGATCTTGACGAAATTGAAAAAATTGCCAACTGAGGTGATGACGAGCCCCAAACACACTCCACAACAATACTGTCATTTATATAGTTACCTCATCAAGCATCTTCCATTTGACCAAGCTTCTTTAGGGCTCTGTTTTATTTTGGGCTAAAAACATGTTTACATTAAATGCAATTAGGTTACCTAACCTTTAACAAGAAATTTTAAACTTGAGCTTACTTTTTGCCAAATAGACTTGATTCTTAGCTGATAGTTGCTAAGTTTGAATTTTGTGTATGGGTTACGCACTTTTTTTTCCTGTGTTCTACTGTGAAAATGATTAGATTCCCTTTTGGTTTCTAATAATTATGGTTGAGTGAAGTATATAAGCTATCATAAGTAGGTAAATTGTATAAGAGGATAGGTAACAGTGTGCCTAAAGTCCTTGAAAAGGACTAAAAATATATAAATAGATGTGCTGCAAAAAGCACATAGACACCAAAAAGCCAAACAAGGCAATCATATCAAAATGTAGCGGAGATTTTGCACTTTAGGTGACCACTTTATCGAGGAACCAAGCAGGCAAGTAAAATGTTCCAAAAACACTAGCATTCCTCAAAAGTACTGTGATCTTACAAAAACACTCCTTAAGTGTAAAGTTAACACTTTACTGTAGGGTACTGTTCATAACCTACATAAGCTTGTCATGACAACTGACATAATCCTACATAAATGTTTATAAATGCTTATTCCAATAGGCATCATTCGCTATATAAAGGATGCATTTGCCAATTTTGATTAAAGCTAGCTAAAGTACCATATATGACAGAAATGCCATTCGGAATAAGCATTCATAAACATTTACGTAGGGTTATGACAGGCTTTTGTAGGTGTCATGTAGCCTCATGAGCAGTATCCTACAGTACAGTGTTACCAGCGTACATATTGTGGAAACACACAAGAACGTTTAGTACTTGTAACCCACAGTTTTTGGTGGGGTTTCATCTCACGATTTCAAGAAGGCTACAGTGAAGAATTAAAAAGTTATGTTTAATTTTTGTTCAGATGACCAGAAGTTGTTTTGAATGAAAAGTTGCATTCTGCGAAGTTTTGTTTCCTGAAACACTAGAGAGTGTGTTCTGTTCTGAGGCTAAAGTCTAGCACTTTTACTGAATAAAATAGCTGATATACAAACATACTTGAATCGTTAGGAATAACTACATTTGTTTGATGGAAAGGAAAGCAACAATTTTATTTAGCTGTGTTAGTGAATATGCACTTTGGTTTGTTTGAGAATGCTGTGTTTGGATATGAGTGAATTTAATGAGTTAAAGATTAGCTGGAAAATATTTAATAGCAGCACTTGTTTTGTTTTCTGCTCTTCTGCTGCATTTATTGTTTTAGAGTTGCTTCTTGATATATGCAATAAAAATCCCAACCACAATCTTTCATGGCATTTTACTGACATTTACACTGTATGTAAGCATGTTTGTAGTATGGATTCATTACTTATGATTCCATGATGTTATGTTATGATTATGTTATAATAGGTTAGTTCTGGTTCAGAAATGTCTGGGTTCTGCTATTACCCTGGAAATAGTCTGTTGAAAGCCAAAATTTCTGAATGGTTTAATTTAAAGATATAAACACAGTCATTCAGAGTAGTTGGACGCAAAATACTGTTGATGCCATTTTAGAGAATTTTAGAGGGAAGTCAAGACTTTCTCACAGTGGTGGTGATAGTAACCAGATGTCCAAATGCCTCAAAAACCTACCTCAATGGAAGTTCTTACACAAACTGATTATGAATATGCCGTCTGGTGCCTTTGACACTGTTTCACACCAGTTTTGAGATAATATTTTGGCCTAAAACTTAGTTTTTTCATTCATTCATGGTGTAGAGGTACCTGCAGGGTGCTACAGGGCAAAATAGTACCCAAAGATTGTGTGTTTTCTGATTCACTACTACATCGGCAGTATTAATATTCTACAAAAAATTGGTTGTTTTGGAATGTAAATTAAATTATATTTGCACTGTGGACAAAGTATCACCAACATTGTTAAAAAGCAGAAAATAAGCCAGAATATTTCTCTACATTGCAGTCTTATCTGTTAAGCAATGATATCTGAAAAAGAAAAGGTAATTAGTTTCATCATTTTAACAACAGAAGATGAATAATAGGAGAAGAATATGAATAACCACTGACCAGATTACTAAAGGCAGATGGTGCCTTCTTGATTTTATGAGGCTTTGTGTCAGAGCTGGCAACTAAAGGGACTGGCCTAAAGTTAAGTGGTGTTGTAGACGTTTCAAATATCGTCAAATATTATGTTTACAAATATTTATTTAAAATAATCTTTACTAGTTCACATTATTGTTCCATTAATAAAGCTCTAATAATTACAATAATCATCATTAAACAAAAGTGGTTTTAGAGTCGATTTCCCGGTTCTAGACTACACAACATTCTGAATGGAGATTGTCCATTGAAAGGAAGGTGCAGTCCAGGATAAGGCTGTCTAGGAAGCCGACCCTTAAAATGAGTAACTTGGAACACTTAAAACCATCAGTAGTCCACTGTACTGTCTTCAAGGCTGATGCATAAAACTGACTTATTGAAGATCCCACATTGAGACAGGCTCATGGTGAGATTGGTGAAGGTCCGCCGAGGGACCTCCATGGTCTCAATTACTGCATCTTCGTACCGCTCTCCGGATTCGGCCTCGGCAGCGGCTACGACAGCCTGAAGCGTGTCTGTGGGCTGGAAGTGCCACTTGAACCTTTGACCGCATGGAGTTCGAATTGCAAGCAGCAGCTGCGCGTCACCATCAACAGCTACATCTGTTCTGCTCTCTGAGTGTCCAGGCATCACCCTCCCTGTGTTAGGATCAAACTGGACCGTAGACACAATCTCCATCTCTGGGTCACTTTTGGAAGCAGTCCAAGAACAGAAATGGGAGATATGTTGCTCTCTCTGGAGCTGATGGTGGTCACGAAGGCTGCTGTCGGACAGACTGAGCCTTGAGACCTTTTCTTCCACACCTCTGGCCGATAAATCTCCTGGCCTTTTCTCGATGGAAGGGAGGACCTTGTATTTGTTGAGGGAGAGGACCGGAACATCTGGGGGTCTTTCGAAGATTTCAGGGCGAACATCTGCACTTGGCCTGCTGCTCTGTCTGGGGACGGTGTGGGTGGGAATCACGGTGGACGCAGGAGGAGGGGGAGGATGGGGGGAAAACATGTGGCTCTGTTGAACACCTTCATCCACAGCCTGAGTCACCCTGACTCTAGTGCGGCCTTTAGAGGATTTTGGTCTCGTCATATGCATGTTTCCCTCTATGAACAGGATTACAATGACTTATTACATGTCTACTCCTTAAATACACCTTAAGTCCGCTTCTCGGACACAGATTGAGCCTAGTCCTGGACTACACAGCATTTTAAATGGAGATTCTCCATTGAAAGGAAAATGCAGTCCAAGACTAGACTTAATCCCTGCCTGGGAAACTGACCTTATATATCCAAAGGTTTGTAGACACCTGCTCATTCAGTGTTTCTTCTGAAATCAAGAGAATTTATAGGGAGTTTGTTCCTGCTTTGCTGCAGTAACAGCCTCTGCTTTTCTGGAAAGACTTTACACTAGATGTTGGAACACTGCTGTAAGGATTTGATTGCATTCAGCCACATGAATAAGGTCAAGTGCAGCAAAAAGCTAATATTTTCATTTTTTATTGTAATTCTCATTACTAATATTTATCTTTTTTGCCTTTTTAATTAGAAAAAATAGGGTTTCTATTACTTTTAACTGCTGAATCCTTTAACTGCAACATTTTCCTTCTAAACTAAAGACGTGAACCAACCCGATGTGTGGAACTAGTAAAAAGAAATCATCATTGGCTTTCAATGTGTTGTAGTAATGGGATAAAATGGCAAAGTGCTATATTTTGATAAATATAGGCTTTATGAATATTTATGTAATTAATCTTAAAAATGCTTAGTGTAACAACAGTGTACAGATCAGGAACACATTTATCTTGAAAACTTGCTGTGTTGCAGCAATGAGAATCTGGTCACTTAAATTGGAAACTGTTACTAAAAATCCATTAAAATAAATGAAATCATTCAGGTTTACTTTTGATTATTCAACCAAGCAGCACTGTTTTATAGTAAGTGAATTACAATTACAGGGGGATGTCTGGATACTTTTGGACATATAGTGTATGAATAAAGTATTAATGATTAAGATACGGAAAAAAGAAACAAAGAAATCCGCAAGTAACGTAAATCACTTAAAGGGGAATTCCATCCATCTTTCAAACTTTTTTGCATAATTCTTTCGTTGCAATGTAAACAAAGTCAGAGTGGTTTGATGTAAAATGGTTTGTTGTAGTGAAAGTTCTTGACTCAACCAGGGGTCGCCATGTCTACAACACTAATATAGCCGTTTTATTTACTATCCAAAACCATTAGCTAGTGAGAATACACGTGTTTATGCTGGTAAAATAGTGGAAAATCTGAAAGAATCATTTTTGTGAGGGAGGACTATTTTGCCTTACAACAGGACGTTTTAGGCCGAAACTTCATCACAAAAATATCCTAAAACAATTTCTCAGGCGTCAGGCAGCGTGTTCATAACCATTTTGTGTAATAACTCTGTGAGGGCTTTTAGAGGCTTTAAACTCCTTAGTCTTGCTCCTATCACCACCACTGTAAACAGTTCTGGCTGAAAATTTCTCTAGAACAGAACATTTCACACCAAACCACTCAGAATGACTGTTTACATCTCAATCCTTTTAATGATGTTCAAATTTCGAAAAACCGGTGGGGTTCCCCTTTAGCGGTGTCTCCTAAAGTGTTGCCGGCTGTGCTCTGTAACGGTAACGGTCATTTTTCTTTAACTGTTAAAAGTTAAAGTTAGTTAAAGTGTCCAAACAGTCGGCCACTCAAGAAGATCATTTGTAGTTTAGGCTTTTATTTAACAAATAAACCTTGCTTACTTACCCAACTAACATCCTGCTTTTTAATGTTATCTACATACTCTGAATGTTAAAGACTGGTGGCTAAAACTCTTGAGCTCTCTGCTGTTTTATTAGCTTGATAAGCTAACGCTAGCTCGCTAACAAGTTTTCAGCGCAGGCGTTAATATGAACATTAAGACAGGATGTAGTTTAGAATAAGCTGAGTTTCAGAAGAGTTAACTGAATGGGGAAGCTTTCCACGAAATATTTCCAAAGTAAATGTTACCTTTACTCAGCCTGTTTTGTCCGTTTCATTTCGCGTGGAGACATTTTCACCCGCGTCGCTCTCCAGTTGCCAACATAGCCACGTTGCCTTGGCAACGCCTCAGCGGCTTAAACGGTGGAGCTCTGAGAGGCCTGTCCAGTCTTGCAGTCAGTCAGTCCACCTGCACTGCACACTGTCATGTCCAGATAGCACAGTTTAGGGCCAGTTCTGGCTTTCCTACATCAGTGTTGGTTGACTACCAGGCAGATGTTAGATGCACAGGCCAGAATAGGGCCAGACAGTTTTATACAGTTTGGCCTTGTTTCTAAATTTGTGGGCCAATTCTGGCTTGAATGTTGTGGACCAGATTTGGACCACATCCATTAGCTCTGCTGAATTTACGGCATGTAGGCCAGATCTGGGGTGAGGACCCGGATGTACACTGGGCCAGACCAAACCCAAGGATGTGGGCCAGACAAATTTTGGTAACTGAAGTTTTCTTTCACACCTAATTCAGCTCAGGAATGATTTGATCACTAGCTAACAGGTGCATCATGTGAAAAAAGATGGATAATAAAGTAGATATCAGTGTCGTATTAATATCACTGATTTCTACAAAACATGACGTGCTCAGTGATGGTTGATATAATAGTAATAATAATAATAATAATAATAATAATCTCCTTGATTTATGATATTGCCTAACAAATTCACCAACATTCATACTACTACTACTAATAATAATAATAATACACACACACACACACACATCCTCTAAGCTGCTCATCTCTCTGGGTCGCGGGCGGGAGCTGGAGAATAATAATAATAATAAAAAGCATTTAGTATTTACAGCATTTTATCTGCTGTTTAACTAAAATGTAACATATATTTTTTCTTTTATTAATTGACGGAGGAAAGCCAACAAATCTGTTATTTATGATTGCTATTGTAAGAATTTTGTAAATTTCTATTAATATCGTGTGTAGTACAAAAATGTGTAAAAATATAAACTTATTTAAGAATGTATATGTGAAAATATAAACTTATAAATCATTTGTCAATAAATGATATTCCAAACTTTTACTACTGACTGTCTGTCCTTCTTGATTAATCTTTCATGTTAGCTCCTAACTTTTTATTGTTTGAAAACTCAAATGTGAAGCGTAAATTACACATTTATTTAATAAGCTGTCATTTATTACTCATTACTGTCATAATTTAAACTATTTTGGCAATTCTAAGCCCTGATCTCCAGCCAACATCAGGCCAACATAGGCCACCATCTAACATCTGTTGCCAGCCAACATCGGGCCAACGTAGGCCTGCCAGCCAAAATCTTGTGATTTATCAATGTATAAATGTAAGCATTGCTGTTGAGCCAACGTTGGGCCAATATATTGCCATCTGGGCTTTCTCCAAAGGAGAAAAGATTAACTTTACAAAAGCATCTGAATGTAGGAAGTTGTGGAGACAGTAAAGTGTGAGGTCTCCTTCTGCACTAACAGGCTGCTGATACAATTGTGACATGTAGAATGGAACTATATAAGAAAATAATCACTTCTCTCATACGCCAGGAGCCACATACAGCACTCAGCATCTTTTCTGGTACCTTTTTTCACTATTATTTCCTGTTAACCTGTATCTTGGGTCATCTCAAGCTGATAATGAGCAACTCCAAGTAGAGGTCGCTGTTCTGGGGGACCCAAAACCCCCCTTTTTGGGATAAGTTTCTGGACAAATTCTGTAAATTCAAATAATGAGGCACTACAATGGCATAAATAGTCATAGAGGCAAAGTACCCTGAAACAAAGGGGAAGGTGGGAAAATAAGATTCATGGTTTTACTGTCATTCATTTTCAAAGTATGATGTACAATGTCCCCAAAAAAAACTCACTGTCTGCAAATTCTGACCAGGGGTGCCAAAACCTTTGCATACAACTGTATACCAGGAGGAATGAATGAGATTAAGATAGAACATTTAGTATGTTTCTGTTCTCTGCTAAGTGGCACAGCCAGTCTGTAACTGTGCTATTTTTCCTACAACATCATTAAATCTTCCAAAAGAAGTGTATGGTTTGATTATATGGTCATTTTATTTTCTCCTTGGTCAGCTGTGTAGCACAAATGCCCGTTTCTCCAACATTCACTTATTACATACAGGAAAAGACACATAAACAACAGGATCATAGTGTAAAGACTGTAAATATGTGCAGTATTACATCAGAACGTCCAATAAAATTTGTTTTCCTAGTGTAATATTGAAAATGTGATAATAATCTAATACATATTCTTAACCTTTACAATATGTAACACACACATATTACCCAGTATGTAATACATTATGGCTATATGTTTACTAAACACCACAGAATATTATGGAAATTGCATTCAATATGTCCCTTTCAACCAAAAATAAATACATACAGTGACTATTTTTAATATTCAACCTTGGTCACTTACCAGTGTTACTGAAAAGTTAAAATAAGCATGAATGACTAGCTGGCCCCATTATTAAAGGGGAATTCCATCAAATTTTCAAAATTTCTGCATAATTCAGTCACTGATATGTAAAGCCGATCAGGGTGGTTTGATGTGACTTGGTGCATCGTAGAAAAACTTAACTTTTTTTTTAATTATCCATTGCCTCAAAGTTAAAATGGTGGTGATGGGAGCCAGAACATGATTGTGTTTTATGTATTCCTTGTGCACTATTGTGGCGGACACATCCTGCATATATTTAAAAAAATATGTTTTCTGAACCTAAACCTTATCTCAGAACTATCGTAAACTGATGCCTCAGGCATCAGGCAACATATCCATACACGTTTTGTATAAGAGCTTTATGTGAGGTAGCTTTTAGAGGCATTTTTAAACATTTCAACGCAACTCAATAGTTGAGATGTGAACAATGGCATTCAGAGTTATTTAATATGAAATAGTTAACTGTAAAGAAACTTAGCAAGTCAGATTTCTTTACAGTGGTGATGATAGGAACCAGGGGTCATAATGTCTATGATGCAAATTTTGCCGTTTTATTTACGGTCCAAAATGACTGGTGAACAGTACACAAGTCTTTTGAGTTTTTATATGTAATGTTGTTGATAGTAAAATAGTGGTAAATCTGAAAAACATTTCTTTGGGGACTATTTTGCTTCACAATGCCCTGCATGTATCTCTCCACCATAAATGAATTTTAAAAAACATGTTAAAACAAAAACGAATTGCAAAACAGTTTCTCAGAGCATATTAATAACGCTTTGTGTAATAAAGTCCTGTGAGGTAGCTTTTAGAGGTATTAAACTCTTTGGATGTCTGGTTCCTATCACCACCACTGTTTCTCTAGAACAAAGCATTTCATATTTTACCATTCTGGATGACTTGTTTGCATTTTATTGATTAATTTATGCAGAAAGTGGAAATTACCTTAACCACTTTAGACATTTGGCTCCTCTCACCACCACTGTGAACAAGTTGGTAAGTTTCTCTAGCCTATATCTTGAGCCGTCAATATGGCCCAAGATATAGGCTACGACTGAAGAATGCAGTGTTTATATTTCTCTTTTGAATATTTGTCATAATTCCCCATTAAGCAACTATGTCATATAGCAGCGAATCATAAATGTCCTCCATCCATCAGTTTCTTCTGGCCTGCTAAATGTTAAATGATGTAAATAGCCTTTGATCAACAAACACAAGCCAGCATTTCACATCCTGAAAGCTTCACAACATAACAATCATATGTAACAGAGAGACTTGTAAAAACATTATGCCCTCATCCACATAACTGTTGCTCTGTAAAGCTTCTGGAAAATGCAGAAAACAGAAGTGAAGCAGATATCAGAGCTTCCGATCAGTGATGTCTTTCTCACACATTCTAGGGTAACTCCAGCAGGTTGTTCTTTGCATACAAGTCCTCTGTAATCTGATACACTTCAGAGATGAGGGGCAAAGCTTCTCCCAACAGGTTGACCACCTCCTGGTGGCTGCCCGCATTCATCACTTCGAAGAAGGCATCCCGTCCAGGAAGGGCACAGAACGCCATCCCAGCGGCTTTCCGGATGATCCAGGCATGGTGCTGGGCCAGGGATTCATTGTAGGCCTCTGAGCACATCACGGAGGTTTTGCTCTCCTCTGTGCTGGTGCGCAAACGCTCCAGGAAGAGCTCGAGCCACAGGAGGGCACGATGCAGCCTCAGGAGGGTGCGGCAGCCCGATTCCGGGTGGTTGGCCCTTTTGGTGAGGTCCACCAGCTCGTTGTCCAGCTCGAACTTTACCATAGACTGGATAGTAAGGTAATGAGACCCATTCTCGCTTGCCAGGAAGTTCTCCAGGATCTGAATTTTGTTGACTGCATCCTTGGAGATGAAGGAGAACACGGTTCCCAGGCTATTCATGAAGCTGGTGGAGGAAAGAAAACGTCTGAATCAGCTAACAGGGAAAACAACATTTTGGCATAGCATAGTTTCCCAATCTTCTGAAGAATATTCTAGATCTGCTAGACATGCATCTCTAGCTAGATACTTTATTAGTACCACGTATCTAGTTCCATCTTGGTAGTATAGCCTAAGGTTACAGGCTGTTGCTCATCTGTTGATGCACATACTGCGTTAGCCATTATCACAATAGTTAAGTCGTAGCCATGACTGGGTGCGGTGTGAGGACGAGATAATTAAGGCATGGCCACGACTTAGTAAGGTGTGGGAATAAGATAGTTAAGGACTGACCCCGACTTAGTGAGGTATGGGATCAAGATAGATAAGCCTAAGCTACAACTTAGTAAGGTGTGGGAACAAGATATTTAAGGACAGACCCTGACTTAGTGAGGTGTCTGAATAAGATAGTTAAGGCCTGGCCATGACTTAGTTAATTAAGTAGTATCCACAACTCCATAAGGTGTGGGAACAAGATAGGTAAAGCCTGGCCATGACTTAGTGAGGTGTGAGAACGAGATAGTTAAGTAAGTAGTATCCACAACTCCATAAGGTGTGGGAACAAGATAGGTAAGGCCTGGCCATGACTTAGTGAGGTGTGAGAATGAGATAGGTAAGGCCTGGCCATAACTTAGGGAGGTGTGAGAATGAGATAGTTAAGCATAAGCCACAACTTAGTGAGGTGTGGGAACGAGATAATTAGGTTGTAGCCACGACATAGTGAGGTGTGGGAACAAGAGAGTTAAGACCTGGCCCCAACAGTGAGATGTGGGAGCAAGATAGTTAAGTCATAGTCACAAATTAGTAAGGTGTGGAAACAAGATAGTTAGGTCCTGGCCACAACGTAGTGAGGAGTGGGAACAGGATAGTTAAGCTGTAGTCACACATAGTAAGGTGTGGCAAGGAGACAGCTAAGGAGTGGCCATGACTTAGTAAGGTGTGGTAAAAAGATAGTTAAGTCATAGCCATGACTTAATAACGTGTGTGAACAAAATAGTTAAGGTAAGGCTATGACGTAGTGAGGTGTGAGAACGAAATAGTTAAGTCGTAGCCACAACTTAGAGGGACGTGGGAACGTAAAGTGGTCAGAGAGTGAAAGGTTAGATGTTTCTAATACAGTGGATAATGAGTGTATGGCAAAGTATACACAGTCTGTAACCTGATGATATACTTTTATATTGTAGCTCTCATCTCATTCCCATGTCAGTAAACTGACAGACATATAAACACTGACGAACCAAAGAACGGTGTATCACTTACCTCACAAGCTCTCTCCATCCTGCTATGTAATACTTGATGTAGACTTCCTTGTTGTCACTGAGAGAAGACTTAAACGTCTCTAACACATTCTGGAGACTAAAGGAACCTGCCATTTCTAGTTATTCTAGTTATAAACTAGCTAATAAGTATGTAAATCGACAACGAGTATGAATACGAAAAGAACAAGCACAATATCTCACACTTAAGAGTTCACAAACAAGCAGACAAACAGAAAATCATATCAATTCAATTAGCTAACCTAGATAACCACTGTACGAAGCGTTACCGGTGTCACCTCGCTGGCGGTGTTCCATTACAAGCGCTTGTACACTAACTGGCACGCCTAGTTAGCGCGTAGAATTCTGCCAGCACAAGCAGATGTCTAAATAGCGCACTGCGCACTAGAAAAGAGCGCATATTGGAACACCGCCGCTGGGTCGGTCCAGCGAAATCTTCCGGCTACGGGATTTGTTTTCTATTTTTTTAAGCGCAAATCCGGCAGTTTCACCAATAGAGAAGAGTCGTGGAGTCACGTGTTCAGTTTTCTGGCGGGCGATTGGATGGCGGTCTGTCGACCAATCGGATTGTGGAGTTTTTTCACGATGTCCGCTGCGTTTTACTTTTGAGACTTTTATGTTGTACTAATATAAATTATACTTTATTGAGTTTATCAAGCAGCTCTGTTTTAAGAACACCAAACCAGAATAGGAGACAAAACTCAACTCTGAAATGTAGCGAGGTGACTGGAGATGTAGCGAGAAGGTTTCCATTATTAGCCAGCTAAGTTAGCCAGGTTAGCTAACGAGTTCCAAAATAAAACATTGATTTCATGATTCCTGCGCATCATAAACTGCTCTTAAAATTTCAGCATGCCGGACATAAAAGTAACGCCGCTAGGTAAGAAGCATCTGCCTGTAACGCACCTGTCTCATTCTCGTGCTAGCTAATGCTACATGGTTCTTCACGGGTTCTTTAGTAAAGACAGTGGTTCTCTGTAGCATCATTAACACTCAAAGAGCCATCTGTGTGCTTAAATGGTTCTTTGCATGGTGAAATGGTCCCTCGGATTGGTGGAGAATGTGTCATATATGGTTCTATATGGAACCTGATTGAAAATGGTTCTATTTAGCACCAAAACAGCGTTCTGCTATTGACACAAGTGCTATAGAGGACCATATGCAACTCATTCTCCATCAATCTGCAGAACGATTTCGCCATATAAAGAACCATTTAAGCATGAAAATGGTTCTTTAAGTTTTCATGGTTCTGTATAGCTTAGAACCATTGTCTTTCCCAAAGAGCCCTTGAAGAACTTGAAGAACCATCTTCTTTAACAGTATATTGATCTATAATGCACAGCTCACATGTACTATCGATATAAGTGTTTGGTTTCTTACCTGATTAATATTATACTGAGTGCGTATTAATATGTTTATAATATTTATATTTGTGTCTCTTCTCTCAGGCGCTGGACAAGACGTTGGGCGCAGCTGCATTCTGGTTTCTATTGGAGGCAAAAACATAATGCTCGACTGTGGGATGCATATGGGCTACAATGATGATGTAAGTTAGGTTGTTGTTGCTCTTCAGATCATAATCTTAGTACACTTTATTGTGTGTTAATGAGGATCTGTGAACTTGAACAGTATAAACAGATGATTTCAGTCACGACTCATTTATTCTATTCTTTTTTTCCCCTTGCTAGAGACGTTTTCCAGACTTCTCCTACATCACCCAGAATGGACGCCTCACAGATTTTTTGGATTGTGTTATCATAAGGTTTGTTCAGGAAATGATTCTCCTTCTACATTGATCCAATCATGACAGATCTGGAATGATGTGGATGAATCAGTAAATCATTCCAGGCTTTTCTTTATTCACATTAGAAATGAAGTCTTTTCACAGACGAGCGTTCTCATTGTGAATATGAGCTTACTGAATTAGGGGCTTCTGAATGCTTCTCGTCTCATCCCGCACAGCCATTTGGACCAAGACTAGCCCAGATAAATACCCAGCTAGGCTAGCCTAGAAAAAAAACAACAACAAGACACGCATGGTGTAATTTCACTTCTTAGACAGTATTGTATAAAGGTCAGAGACCACCCTTCATTTATTTAAATTCCAGGCAGAACAGCCATTGAGTACAAGTTATTCATTTTTTACGAGATGTTTCTGAGGAGATTAGATATAAGATAATGCATTTACATAAGGAAGGAAATGAAGTGCAAAACAGGAGTTTCCAAAACTGAAGTTCAAAAAATAATGAAAAAAATGGGACTAAAAAGACCTGATAGACCACCAAAACTGTCCTCATCAGCTAAACAGTTCTTAAATCTTTAATCTCTGAGAGAGAGGAGAAAATCAAGCTCCACTCTTGCTTCAGATCTGAAAAAATCCACAAGTGTTTCTGTCCATCCTTCCACTGTGAGAAGACAACAATGGACTGACCACTCCAGAGTCCAGACCTCAACACCACTAAATGTGAGAAGATCTTAATCTGTATTAAAAGCAAAGACTGGACACACTCCATGCTAAAATATTTGGTGGTATATTAGGTTGTTGAAGCTTCTCTGTAACTTTCTGTTAAACATGTTTTCTGTTTTTTTTTTCTTGTCTCTGAAAAGTAATCATTTGTGTTTAATGGTCTTTCTGTCTGGCAGTGGAGTGAATGAAAAGGTGGTCTCGAGGGCAGATTTGAGTGAAATATCTAATTGTGATTTTTCTGACTGATATTGTGACTGCCATTTAAATTACATTATTTAATATAATTTGAGGTCCAGGCCTGTTTTTTGGCCAAGAAGAGCAGCATATCTACTTGTTCTGCTTTGCTGCTTGAGCACTGAACATAGTGTGCCAGACGTCCACTTATTCATAGTTGTATTGTCTTGTACACAGCATATGGGGGTTGGTTGCTTCTGATTGGTCTACAGACAGTTCACAAGATCTCTGTTATTGTGTAAAATTTCCCCATTTAGAACTTGTTAAGACAGCATTGTTAATAATGTAAGCCGTAATAAAAATTGCAGCTCCAGTGATTTAAAAATTGCACTCTTTCAAATTGCACTTTCAATATAAGGACGATTAATCTGGTGGTCTCTGACTTTTGAATTACTATATAATCCTGGTAGTTATTCCATTTAATATCACTATGTAGCATAAATCATTTTTGCTCAGTTCTTCTATTAATATTTAAATTGGGGCAAATTTAGTAAAGAGGCTAATTAAAAATAGCTTTTGGTTGTTAACATTAACTCACCAGGATTCGTGATCTGTCATCAGTTCAGTTCATCAGCCAGTCCATGGCTGTTCAGAATTCCTAGTGGTTGTCTGGTAGGTATGTGGTGAAAAGGATCTTCCTCAATTGGAGATGTCTGAATTCCTCCTATCTCAGCCATTTCCATCTGGACCACTGCGGTGCTCTTCCCTACATGAGTGAGATGGTGGGCTATGATGGACCCATCTACATGACGCATCCCACAAAGGCCATCTGTCCCATCCTGCTGGAGGACTTCCGCAAAATCACAGTGGACAAAAAGGGCGAGACCAACTTCTTCACCTCGCAAATGATCAAAGACTGCATGAAGAAAGTGGTGCCGCTGAACCTCCATCAGACTGTTCAGGTGGGTTTCAGCAAGCACAGAGTTAAAATGACAGTTCAGTTAAAAATGAAATCTCCACAGTAGTTATTAAATGCCTTTACCCCAAATGTAGTACATCAGCCAGAACATTTTTGGTGTCCGAAGTTTGTAGCATTTCATCACATATTTACCTCAAGCTTTATCAAGTTGTTGAAGACCCCATATCATCCTTGCTTGTCTTAAATAAATGAGTTTGATGTGGTATGTAAACACTGGTAATGTTTCAAAGTGTACTGTTTACTCCCCAGTCCACACAGTCAGTAGATGGAAGTTAAGCTGGAAAACAGAATTGTTTTTATGACGTCACAAAACCCAGTTTACGTATATCCACCTGTTCAACTATCTGCAGTTTAGTCCTGCACACTCTTGTTGAAGGGCTTCAGTCTGGACTGCTTTTTGAATACGGGAATACAGGAAGGCCAACCAGAGGTCTTTTACATGTGTCAGACTTAAGGGCACAGCAACAAAAACAGCCTGTTAAACTTTAAGGGATAAAGAGAGGCTGGAAAATGATCATGTAAAACTGAGAACTGTTTTTGGTCTGTTAAGCCACACAAACATCATAAGTGGACCTCAGGAAAAAAAAATGGAATGCAAGAAAAATGTAGGATATGGGCCCTTTAAGTCTCTAATAGACTTGCTTTTGTAGTTTCTGACACTGTATGATATTTTGTTATCTATAAATATTAACAGAAGTATGTTGCCTGGCTAAAAGCAGTAGCAGAGGCCATCTTGACCATTCTTTTGTCCATTTCTGATCATTTTAATGTGCATTTTGTACAATGTTAATTGGTGAATATAAGCTTCCATTACTTGTTAGCTTCATTAGCTTCATAGTCCCAGTGCTAAACTAAAAAAGCAAACATCGGATCCCGACCGTGTCTTGATGAAAATCTGTGTAAATTTGATATTTTATCAAACTATCTCTTTAACATTCTGACAGTGTACTTCCACCATTGACAAATTGACAAATAATTATTTCACGATATTTTACTCCCTAAATTCTGAAAAACAGCCCTAAATCTATATGATTAAAAATCACAGCAAAAGAGATTATATTTTAGATATAAACCCGTGTTTTTTTTTTTACCTCTGTCTCTCTATTTAGGTGGACGACGAGCTTGAGATCAAAGCGTACTATGCAGGTCATGTGCTCGGGGGCAGCCATGGTGCTAATTAAAGTTGGCTCAGAGTCTGTTGTTTATACAGTGAGTATTATATCATGATATGAAAATGAATTTTACATGCTCACATGTAAAATGCTGTGTTTATTTTATTCAGGGACACGTTGGGGTACTTATGTTTCCAAAAGTTGGACGTGGGATTTTTATTATGCTGTGATATATGTGATTTGTTGTACTTTTTAATATATGTGAAGGTTAGAGCTGGGAGTGGATGACTGCAATTTGTTGAAAGTATGTAATTTTGTAACATTATGACTATAATTATGTAACATTTTGACCTGTATAAATGTCTTTATACAGGGCGATTATAACATGACACCAGACAGACACTTAGGGTGAGTATTACTTTTATTTTCAAACTATTGTTTATGCTAGATGAAACTGTTTAAATATAAGCCTTTAGATTTAATGTAATCTATTCCTCCATTGTTCTGTAGCGCTGCTTGGATTGATAAATGTCGTCCAGATATTCTGATCTCGGAGTCCACCTACGCCACCACAATCCGCGACTCTAAGCGGTGCAGAGAAAGAGACTTCTTGAAGAAAGTCCATGAAACCATCGAGAGAGGAGGGAAGGTGAGAATAGAAACTTCATTACTAGTGTAGGATACTTTTTGTAGTAACAACCAAAAAAAATGTCATTCAGTAATGAATTTCAGTAGTAGTAGTCAGTCCCAACAGTATCAGTGAGCCAAAAAGCATCATCTTGTTACAAAATCTAGACTGCTGATTGGCTGTCTAAATTATATTGCTTATGCATGTTATTAAAGAGTAATTAAGCAAATTTTGGAAATTTCTGTATAATTCAGTCATCAGAGATACAAACAAAGTCATTCAGAGTGATTTGATGTGAAATGGTTCTTTGTAGAGAAACTTACACACTCAGATTTCTTTACAGTGGCGGTGAAACCAGAGGTCACAGTGTCTTTCTTTCGTCGTTTCCTTTAATATCCAAAATGACCAGTGAACTTACATGTCATCTGAGTTTCTATATGTAATGTTGAGAGACATTAAGTGCCTCAGATTTATCACCTGTCGCCACCACTGTAAACGGAGAGGGGTCGTCCGATATGGCACAAATATTATATCATGATACTTCAAGACATTTTCATGATACACAGTATAAATCATAATATTTCGTATTTCTGTGGTTTAATAAGTTGGAACAGACAAAAAAGAACTTGTAGTGCCCCATAATATTTTTATTCAGAGTCTCAAAAACTGCAGTGCACTAAATCCAATTAAACAGGGCTAATTATACTTTGCAATGAAACATGCAGTTGGGAAGTGTTTTTAAGTACTAATGATATCCACATTGTGCTCAGTGTTGCCACATGATTTACCATGATAACGATAATATATCGTCATATTGCCCACCCCTAAAATGGAGCATTTCACATTACTTTATTTGCATTTTAACCATTTAACTCTGCAGAAAATTCCCCTTTAACATTGGCACTGTAATCTGTTGCAGTCAGTAAATATGTCAACTTTCAGGCTCTTCCAGCTGGTTTAAATGTCCTTTTTTGTATAATTTAAAAGAAAGTATAAATCTGTATTGAAGTCAAACTATTAAAATTGGTATCAGTATTTAAAAGTTTTGACGATAGCCCTATTCTGTACAGTGATTGCATGTTTGTTGTCAAATTACACAAGATGTGCTTTACCTTGCGGAGGTGTTCTATATAACATTATCATTATTGAGACACATCACCCCACAATTCACTTTCCTGAGTGCACTTTGAGTATCGTTAGTATTTTTAAAATAATATGATAAAAAAGAGATTTAGACTAAATATAGAGAGCTTACAAACAACAACAAGCAGATTTCAGCCCATTAATTCATTCTTATATTAACTAATTGAATTGTGGTGTCCATGCGCTGCTGCGAGTCACCTGGTAAAGCCTTAAATAATAATGATTTCATAAAAGTTTTTCAGACCACATCATATGTCTTTGTGTATTAACATCACGCGCACTCAAAAAGACTCAAAAAGAAGGCCCGGCTCGATGTTAGGTCTTAAATGTACTGCAGATATGAAGATATGATGACAGTAGTAGCTCATTTCTAACACGCTTGCAATTTGTTACATCTTTGTAAAAAAAATCATGTTTTTCATAGCCTTTTTAAAAAATGTTGCACTACGTTGCTGTGGATTTAGTATAACTTGTTCATAAACTTCACAGGAAAAAAAAACTTCATATGAATATTTTGATACATATTGTGTATTGTGGAACAAGTATTGTGATTTTATATTTTTATTGTTTTTATTATTATTTCTTGCCACATCGCCCACCCTCACTTTAAATTTCTGTTTGTGTCCACAGGTCCTCATTCCGGTTTTTGCCTTGGGGAGAGCGCAGGAGCTTTGCATTCTTCTGGAAACGTTCTGGTATGCCCTGAAAGGTTCCATTTTTTGTTGTTTTTTTTTGTTTTTGTTTTTGTTTGTTTTATTTTATTTATTTATTTATTATGACAGGAAGGTCGCCGGTTCGATCCTGTGAGCCGACAGTACGTGACTGAAGTGCCCTTGACATTTGACTTGACATTTGACTTAAGTTCTCTTATTAATGTAAATATGCTGCCCCCATATATACCTGTAAAACTTTTCAGTTTTGGTTTGTACAGTGGTTATATTAGCTTAATTTTGTATTTTGTATTCTTTTAACATCAAATGATGATCAGCGAACAAACTTCCTGAGCACACAAGCAAGAAAACATTATCTGAGTTGAGATTTTTCATTTTGTCATATAAACATAGCTCCTCTTCTAAGATTTTATGTGCAAAAAGAACAGTTTACATGGCAAGATATTTGTTGTCTTTAACAGGGAAAGAATGAATTTGAAAGCACCCATATACTTCTCCACCGGCCTGACGGAGAAAGCCAACCACTACTACAAACTCTTCATTACCTGGACCAATCAAAAGATCCGCAAGACCTTCGTCCAAAGGAACATGTTTGAGTTCAAGCACATCAAGGCATTTGATCGCTCCTATGCAGACAACCCAGGACCAATGGTAGGCTTTCATCATGTCTACAGCAGAATGAAGCTACTCTGTTACTGTTTCAGCTGATTTCATAGCAAAATGAGCAAGAACTGGTTAGAAAGGTCATCATGCAGTTGCAGTGAAACAAGACAATCATTATTTTCATTGTTTTTATTGCACATACTATAGAGCAGAGGGCTTCAAATTCCACCTTGAATCCAGTTTTTGGGCTGGATTTTGTAGTTACAGGTTGGTATTACATGACGTGGCCAATCAGTTATATCAGCAGTTCAGTTAACCAGCAGTGAAAGCAAAATTGAGGACAGGAAAGGTCAGAATTTGAAAACCTCTGCTGTAGAGTGTTCCATTTTATCCACTGTAGAGCCAGATTGATATTATCGGTTTGGCTGATAATATTGGCTGATATTTATGACTTGTGATTTTATCAGTATCAGTAAAAATATTGATGGTAATGCACTGATAATTATCAACTATCATCATGATTCTGTCTCAGTCTTCATGATGGGGTGAAACCTTTGACAGTTGTGCCACTGGGAACCCCAGTGAATCACCTATGTTCAGCTATGTCTTTGCAAAGCAGGCTAAACTGGTGAATTAAAAAAAATGGTATAATGTTAAAATAACAAACATAAAGGCAGAAATAAAATAAAAAGTAGCCAGAACCTTTAATATGAAGGCACTGTGTTATAATCTTCTTAGTATAAATAAAAAAAAATAAAAATAATAATAATAATAGCACTGTTTACTTTAATTAAATTTAAATTAAAATGTTAAAAAAAATGAATATAAAATTATGACGTGCGATTTTTCGCTACTTAAAATCAGTATCTTTATCAGCCACAAAAATTTCAAATCAGTCAGGCACTAATTTATTGGGATCCATTATTGTGTTAATAATGTATTCATCAGTGTTGCTGCTGTACAATTACATGTTTTATTGAATTTAGCAACTTAAAAATTGTATTTATCTGTAAATTTGTGTGCAATTTCTTTTTTGCTAATTGGTGCCCAAACCTTTGCAAACAAATATATAATCATTGTGGGTTTGTGTGTATTAGGTGGTGTTTGCCACTCCAGGAATGTTACACGCAGGCCAGTCTTTACAGATATTCAAGAAGTGGGCTGGCAATGAAAAGAACATGGTAAGTGATTATTAATATTATAGTCCAGTTACGGTTTTAACACTTACACTGCAGGCTCATTTGAGTTGGATGGCAGCAATGTTTTGTACTAACATTACATGTGTTTTTATTTATTATGCAATATATTGTGTTGTTTTGTTTTCTTTTTGTATCTGTGCTCTTTATTGACCATATTGGGCTCATAGATTTGGGTTTGACAGAAGAGTTTTTCCATGTTTATTCAGTTGGTCATGGTTTTGTTATGCCTTATAATGCATCTGTTATGCAAGTAAGGCTTGGAAAATGACAGCTATGTTGTGTCTGTTTTTTCTCCAGGTCATTATGCCAGGGTACTGTGTGCAAGGAACAGTGGGTCACAAGATTCTGAATGGTCAGAAGAAGCTTGAGATGGAGGGAAGAGCCACGGTAATGATGACTGTCCCCACTAGAGGGCAGCAAAGAGCTTGTACTAATGTTGTGGGCATTTTCCTTTCCTTGTCTGTTGGTGAATGTCAGATTAAAAGAAGGCGTTTTGCTCATCTCAGTACATGCTTCTGTTTTTTGGCAATTCCCTGCCAAGTCAGCAGACCTATGCTGCCTAGAATTCTATATAAATATTTCCAGTTACAGCAAATTTTTGCTTACAGATGTCTGAATAAACAAACTAACAAAAGTAATTAGTTACACAGACTATCTTCAATAATTAGTCCAGGCAACTAATTAGATAATATAAGATGCTTCAAATATATTTGGATAAGCTGGTTTCTTTTTAAGATACTTAATAATTGAATGAATTTTAAAATTCTATGGCTATTGGCAGTTGTTCTTAAAGTTTCTATTTTTAACTAAGTTGAATGAAAAATGAAACTTAATTTGAAAAGGCATGGACCTCTTATGTTGAGACCTTGAATTTATGATTTGTGCATTCTGCAGTGGTGCTGGCACTTAACAATTCCACTTTTGACAAGTGCCACAGACTCTGAACAGGTGACACATCAGTTTCGAACTCGAAACGAACAGAAAAATGCACAGTTCCCTGTTCATTCTTTTATTGTCAACATTACATCGTTGACACTTCGCTACTCAGACAAGGAGTAGTAAATGAAATAAAACAATACTAAAATATGTGAAATTATTCATTTCTGATCTGACATCTCGCCCTGGAGTTAGTATTTGTTACAGTTGGCTGCCTTTGGCTAAACTTATTTACCTATCAGATTGGATCGCACTGTTGCTACAGAAGCTCTGCTGGTTTTGTTGAGGAAAACAGATGCTGAAATACAACCAATTTTTTTTTCATGTACGTTGATCTGCTTTGCTGCAGAATTTTTCAAGTACTCAGTTCAGTCTACTGAGTATTACAGGAAATGACCTTACCTCTGTTTCGTTGCATTCTTTTTTTAGCGTTTATTTTGATTGATTTGGTTTTTGTGTTTTTCAGCTGGAGGTGAAACTGCAGGTGGAGTACATGTCCTTCAGTGCCCATGCGGACGCTAAGGGCATCATGCAGCTGATTCGCATGGCTGAGCCACGCAACATGCTGCTGGTGCACGGAGAGGCCAAGAAGATGGAGTTCCTCAAAGACAAGATTGAGCAGGAGTTCAGTGAGTGTTCAGTGTATGTCAGTATTTGTCAGATAGTCATGCAGTGAAAAAAAGAAGAACCATAGTTTGGACTAAAATGCCTGACATAGAAACTAAAATATAGTAAAAAAAAAAACAATACATACAGTGACATGCTTACAGGCACAGACATAAATGTTGGGTTGAAGTGCTCTTAAGTGTTTGTTGTCTCTCCATCCTCACACCTGCAGATATCAGCTGCTATATGCCAGCTAATGGAGAGACCACCACAGTGACAACCAACCCGAGTGTGCCGGTGGACATCTCTCTCAACCTGCTGAAGAGGGAGATGGCCCTTGGAGGTGTGTACTCAACACAGCACTGTATCACACTGACAGCCAAGCTTGCTAACTGCTCAGCATGAAACGGTGGTACACATGCACAAACAGCAGTGCACAACAGTGATAGACTGGGTGGAGATCTGGAGCCGTAAGACAGAAACGCCCTTTCTTTTGTCCTTAGTTAAGATCTGATGAGGTCAAGAGAAGATTTTGCACAAATTCGTAATACAGAAGCAAATCTTATCTTAGTTTAGGAATTTTATCCTACAGCATCTTAAGTTAGGAAATCTTAATGTACTCAGTCAACAATCATCTGTCTGTTACCAAGCAAACAATGCTATGCGCATAGCTAATATGTGAACACGTAGTCAAAATAATGTTAAAAATTTTAGTTTAAAAAAAAGGTCAATAAACTGGAAGTTAAGAATATTGGGCCTCTTTCACCGATAGCTTCCTAAGTTTGTTCATAAAACTGCTCTTAAGAAAGGTCCTAAAAGAAAGCCTACACCAAATTCATGATGTGTTCATAAACCACAAAATGGTTCCCACCTTTGTGCTCTTGAGTGTGTGTAGATTGTTTTTACTTAAGAGCAAAACGCTGGTGAATGGCAGAATCTTCGTGAAAACTGCCTAAGTGGGTTTGAGGAAGAAATTTCTTTGTAAGAATGGTTGGTGAATGAGGCCCACTGTGACAGTATGCTATGCTGTTTGTTGGTGTTACCGCTTCCCAGTTTCAATTCCTAAAGCTTTCGGTGACTCGTGAGCCGCGCTAACATTCTTCCTCCTAGTAAACAGCCACACGTTCAACTTAGCTTCCTCATTGTTCACTATCATCACTGCAATATTGTATTCGATGAATTTTTATGTACATTAATGCATGAAAGTAATAAGGGGGGGGCGGTGGAGACGGTGTGTCTGCAGTGTCTGGGATTTTTAAAAGGCAGAGTTAGGAAAAAACATCTCTGAAAATTTTGCAATATAGATAAGTGACTTCATTATGCAAGTTACAGTGAATTTGTTATGCTGCCTGTCACAGTTGTGTAAAAATGATAGAAACTGACAGACTGAAGTCAGGACATCGCTGGGGTTTTGGAAATTTTGTCTAGTCAGGATGTTTAACACTGTTTTCTTATCTGGAGTTAGGATAAGATTATGAACTGAAGAGTTGTTGTTCTGTAACAGCTTCTGTCCTAAATTCAGTGCTAACTAAAGTTTTATGTTGACTAAACAGATGAGATTTCAGAGTTTGGAAGTTTCTGTAATACCACCCCAGCATGTTTGCCATAGCATATCATTTACATCATTTGAAATTCTCAGTGATGAATCTTGTAGTGCGACCTCCTAGCAAGAGCAGTGAGGAGCAGTAGCTAACGAGAGCAGGAAAAAACTCTCAAGCAAGTGGGAAGCAAACAACCAAATCTAAACCTAATTCTAACCTTAAAGCTGCACCAAGGAAGTGTTTTTTTGTTAAAATTGAAGGAAGTAGCATTACTAAGTCACAAGAAAAGTTAAACATGCTGAAATATGTTGTCCGTGAGCTGCTGCGATTAAAATATGATGATAGTAGTAGATAATTCACTTACATCCTCTGAAGACACAGCCTTCACCAAGTTTTGGCTGAGTTCTCTTTGAACACTCAACACGCTCGCAATCATCAGATTCATCTGTTTTGGAGAAGGGTTTCAATACAACCCACATGACGTGTTTTGTGTGCAATTACACATTTTCACCAGAGAGGCCTCCAAATCCCCAGAAGTTACATTTTGTAGCTTTACCGTCCACTGAAAATGTAAAACTCAATCCTAAACCTGACCCTAACCCCTTTCTCCGGATAGTTTAACAATTAAAACATCTATGGATATCTTTTCACATAATTCATAAAATACAAGCTGCTATTTAAACATTAACTTACACATCATCACTGCTGGATGTGTGTGTGCATGTGTGTGTGTGTATATGTATATATATATATATATGTATATGTGTATATATAATGTATGTGTGTATGTATGTATGTATGCTTTTTACTTGTGCTAGGTCCGTTACCCGACCCTAAGAAGCCTCGCACCATGCATGGAACTTTGATCATGAAAGACAATGTAAGTCAGTCTGCTTCATATTCAGTTTACGTGGGTAATGGCTTTTGGTCTCAGTCTCATGATATTGGTATTAATATGCACTTTGTTCCACTTTACATAGAGTCTGAGGCTGGTTTCTCCAGAGCAGGCTCTAAAGGAGTTAGGTCTTTCTGAACATCAGCTGCGGTTCACCTGCCGCGTGCATCTGCAAGACCCTCACAGTGACTCGGACACACTCGCCCGCATCTACAGCCACCTCAAAAGGTCCTCACACATTCACCTATATCTTCAACCCACTCAAGACAACTCACACTTTAATACATGATTCAGTCACCTTCGCCAAAAAATCAGATTCACAGAATTTTCCCCCCTCATAGCACTAATTAGCGCTGTGGAAACTGCAGCCTTAACTGTCACACATTTACCTCAAACCACGTCAAGTTCATAATCTGAAATACACTTGCTTATGTGGTTTCCGACACAGTATGGAATATTGTTATCTACAAAAAATGAGCAAACAGAATTGCAAAATTGAGGCTTCAAGGTGGCCGCGTGAACCCAACGAGCTCGGTACTGGGCTCAAAAACAAAAAGCCACTGATTTAAATCTGCTGCTAGACGAGTGGCACTCCATACACACCATATCTCCGTTGACAACAGTAGAATCATTTTAGTGTGCTATTTCTTTCTAACAGTGTACAAAAGATGTGCGAGTCTTCCTTTCTTGTTGGATGCACTGTGGGTTTTTTCCAAGCGAGTGTGTGAGCAGTTCAAATTAGTAAGCGCTTATTCATTTTGCTGCTGTCGGAACAGAACCTTGTATCTCCATTTTTGCTATTTTTCAGTTTGTGACATAATTTGAAAATGCTTGTTGCCCTTTACGTTGTGTCTTAAAGTCTGGTTCCATTGACTTAAATTAAAAGTAAAGTATGTTTTTTTTCCTTCTCCTGTGAAGTCGCCTTATTGGAGATACTAGGTCTTGTTCCGGCAGCAGCAATTTGTTTATCAGATTAACAATAAAGCACAACTGATTCGTGACAAGTAGTCCTTTTCATGTGTTTTTCTTATTTAAAATACTAGTTAGCAGTGGTGGATGAAGTACACAAATCAAGTAGAGATACCCAAGATAAAATATTACTCCAGTAACAGTAGAAGTCCTCCATTAACACCTCCACTTGAGTAAACGTACAAAAGAGGTCGACAGAGGTTCCGTTTTGAGTGTACGCTGTGCGTGTTTGGCTGCCGCTACTCGCCAGTGTTTTTGTTTTTCCTGTGTTTCACTTTTTCTTTCCCTTTGTGGGAGTTTTGGTACAGACACTCTCCACTATCAACTCTATTTTCTACTTGCAAGTTGAATCTTGCTTTGGACAATGCCTATGACACACCTGCTTCTCACCTGCGAGCCCTTTTCCTCTTCTCCTGCACCGTGACTGCATCTGTGGTGAGTGTGTCTCTACCCCCTTGGTTCATTGCTGTTGCCAGTTTGTTCTGTGGTAAGTCGCAGCATTTCTGCTCGTGCTTCTCACAGTCTTAGCTGGGTGGTGTAGTGGGTTTTGGTTGGCTAACGTTCGTGGTCTGAGCTCTGGCATTTTCACTATCTCTTCTGTTAGGTCCACGGCCGGTGTCCAGAGTTTTTGTTTTTGGCCTAGAGTCGTGCTGTGCATTTTTGTTTTTTACGCTCTGGCAATGTTTAAATACTCCCGGACTGATCTTAAACACCTCGACTGTCATGCCCGCTTGGATTCTGCGTCATATAATCTCTGCCAGACACTTGGAATTGCTCAACGCCCACGTTATATCCACCGTTCAAAAAGAGGACCCTCGTTTAGTTATGGCTGTGATGGCTGTGATGGCTCTGATGCGCGGATCCTGACTATATGAACATATATAATCGTGCTCGCCGGCGTGACACTAAAGCTTAACCTCGCCCAGCTTAACGCACTCCCAAACCTGCTGCAAGCTTCTTGTCTGAATGTAATGAACTCCCCACAATCATCTCGTCTCTTTGCTCTGCCGTAATTGTGCTTGGTGACTTCAATATCCATGTTGATACTGAATGCTCTTTCACATCTGAGTTCATTTCAGTTTTAGAGTGTTTTAACTTGATGCAGCATGTTGATTTTCCAACTCACACTCATGGTCATACTCTTGATTTACTCTGTTCTACTGGTTTGAATGATATCTCTGTCTCTGGTTCAGTCTCTGGTATCTCTGACCATAAGCTCATTGAATGTAGTTTTCATATTTCTACTCCTCCCCCCTCCGAGAAAATCTCTGTTGTCTATCATGATATTAGGTGTGTCAGTCACAATCTGTTTGCTGCTTCTCTTCAGTCTTCAGCCCTGTCTGACCTACATAACCTATCATCCCCTGAAAGTATGGTTTCCCTTTATAATGATACTGTCTCCGGATTGCTTAATGATTTAGCCCCTTTTAAGAATAGACAAAAAAACTGCCACCCGCTCGTGTCCTTGGTTCACCCCTGAACTAAGGGTACTGAAGGCCATTGGTCGGCGTCTTGAGCGCCTTTATAAAAAAAAACTGCCCTTAGTGTCCACTCTCTACTTTATAGCCAACTCATCCACAAGTATAGAGATGCCCTTAATACTGCCCGTTCCAACTACTACTCCTCCATCATAAATAATGCGAAGTCTAGGCCGAAAACACTCTTTCGAACTGTTAACAAACTCCTCCATCCTCCTGTGTCAGTGTGCCCCCATTCAGCTGAGCAATGTCAGGCTTTTCTTCATTCTTTTGAAAAGAAAATTGATCAGATCTATAGTTTCTTTCCTTCTGCTTCTCGGTCATTCACCCTTACTGATTTTCCTACTTTGTACACAAAGCTAACTTGTTTCACACCTGTTGACTCCTTTTGTGTCTCTGAACTCATCACTAAGTCTAATGATTCCTCCTGTCAGCTTGACCCTGCCCCCACCCCTCTACTCAAGGCCTGTTCATCTGTAATCAACACTCCAATTGCTACAGTGATAAACTGATGTCTCTCTTCTGGTTTGGTTCCTACTGCCCTTAAAACTGCTGCAGTTACTCCTATACTTAAGAAACCTGAATTGGACCCGACTTCTCTTTCTAATTACAGACCCATCTCACACCTTCCATTTTTAGCTAAAGTAATGGAAAGAGTGGTTGCTTCCCAACTCCAGACATTTCTCAGTGATAATGCCCTCTATCAGCCATTTCAGTCTGGTTTCCATACTCACCACAGCACTGAGACAGCTCTTTTGCGAGTAGTTAATGATCTTCTCCGGTCTGCTGACAGTGGTTCTCTCAGTATTCTCCTTCTCCTCGACTTAAGTGCAGCATTCGATACTGTTAATCATGATGTTCTCATTTCTCGTCTTTTCTCTATTGGTATCACTGACACAGCCTTACAGTGGTTCAGGTCGTATTTTACAGACAGACAGCAGTTTATCACACTAGGTCCACACAAGTCCTCCACCTCTCCTCTTACATGTGGTGTCCCTCAGGGCTCAGTTCTTGGACCCCTACTTTTCTTAATCTACATCTCACCCCTTGGCCAGATCATTCGTAGCCATGGCCTTAACTTTCACTGTTATGCTGATGATATTCAGTTATATCTCAGTACGCACACACCCTCAGATTCCCCTCCCAGTACACTAATCGATTGTATTTCTGATTTAAAGCTCTGGATGCACAATAACTTTCTCATGCTAAACACTGATAAAACTGAAGTCTTACTGGTTGGCCCTAAACTTTTACTATCAAAATCATCCAGTTTTTTCAGTTAGTGTTGATGGCCTGCTCGTTAAGCCCGCACCTGTTGTTAGAATTCTTGGTGTTTTACTTGACCCATCACTTAATTTTGATCTGCATATCAAGTTCCTCACTAAGACTGCATTCTTTCATTTACGTAACATTTGCTCGTCTTCGCCCGTTCCTGACCGATAATGATGCAAAAACTTTGGTTCATACCTTCATTGTGTCCCGTATTGATTACTGTAACTCCCTCTTTGTTGGTCTCCCTGTAAAGTCTGTACAAAAGCTACAGTACATTCAGAAATCTGCAGCTAGAGTTCTCACCCATACTAAGCATTCAGCTCACATCACTCCCATTCTATCTCAGCTACTCTGGCTACCGGTCCCGTCCCGTATAAAGTTTACTCACTTTCAAAGCCCTGTATAAGCCTCCCCCCTACCTCAGAGAATTGCTGACCTCTTACACTCCCTCTCGCTCTCTCAGGTCTTCTTGTAATAACTTACTTGCTGTCCCATGCACCAGACTTTCCACTTTGGGAAGGAGGTCCTTCAGTGCCATGGCCCCCAAACTCTGGAATTCTCTTCCTCAATCCCTCCGGGACTGCTCTTCTTTCTCCTCCTTCAAATCTGACTTACAGACTTTTCTCTTTAATCAGCATTTTCTATCTCCTCCACTGCTTAGTTGTTTTTTTTGTTTGTTTGTTTTTTTTTGTTTGCCCATGCTATGTGAAGCGACCTTGGATTTGTGAAAGGTGCTATATAAATGTAACTTATTATTATTATTATTATTATTATTATTATTATAAAAGCACTAAAAAATTAATTATGACTAAAAGATTATGATTAATGATGTCCCATTAAATGTTTCTGTAAGGTTTAGTGCAGAGTTTATTTGCACAGTCTAACACACTGAATAATAGTAAACATAATAAGTTTATAATAAATAAATGTTAAAATCAGCAAATAAACAGTAACTGTGCATTAAAAGGTGTAGAAGTGTGTCCTCTGTGGAGGATGTATTAAGTACTTAAACAAAACATGTAATTTGACCAGGGGTGACTGTACAAGAGGTTTTTGTTGAATTTGCTTGTCCCCTGCATGTATGAATATAGTTGCTGTTGTTCTGTTTGTGCAGCACTAATTGCAGTCTTTTCTGTTTTGAACTAACTGCAGATTAGATTATCATACAAAAGATAGTATAAAGGCAATACAAAGAATCACATGATAAATAATAATTTACATAATATTGCTACTAATGCACTATTATCACAGTATTCTAAATTATCAATGATTGGCTATTGCTACTACCATGCCCAGATCATCAAGTTGATGGTCCCTGGGCACAAATGTATGGTGACCCCCTACATGGCATTTTCTGGTGGTCAGGGAATTTTTTATGACATCACAGCAGGTTACGTGAGCGCTGTGTAGCAACACAATGAAAGCAAACTAACTACAGTGTTGGGTGCGTCACCATGATATTTAATATCTACTTTAATGGCATTGCCACCTCCACTGTTGACTGCGAAGTGTATTTATATACTGATGACACCATTCTGCACTGCTTGGCTAACTATGCTGGTGTTGGAAAAACTTCAGTATGTTTCACGGTTGACAATTATAGGTCAGTCCTAAGTGTAGAGGAAACTTAAGTTATGCTGTTTTCCAGAGCCTCTAACATTGATTTTTAACACTTTTAAGAACACAACCCTGAAGGGATCTGACGTTGAAGAAGTCAGTGAATATAAATACTTTGGCTTATGGCTGGACGACAAACACACTTTTAAATATCACATTAAGAAGCTCGCATGTAAACTGAAGCAAAAAGTTGGCTGTATTGAAACAAAATGTATTTCCCAATGACCACAAGGAGAAAGACTGTCAAAGTAGCACTATTGTCTTTTCTGGATTATGGTGATGTGATTTACAGATATGCATCTGTAACTACTCTCAAATCTGTAGACTCTGTAAACCACTCTGCTTTAAGATTCATTACTGGTGACCCCTCCAACACCCATCACTGTGTACTGTATGAAAAGGTTGGCTGGTCGTCTCTAGCCGGGTGTCGGGAGACACGCTGGCTTCTTTTTATCTATGAAGATCTTCCTGGCCATGTGCCGTACATCACAGACATGCTCAGTGTAAATAATGCACTTTATCAGACTCATTCCAGTGACTGGATCTGCTTTTAGCTGCCCCAGTGAGCTGGAATTCATTACAGGAATCTTTTAAAGCTTCACTCGCTGGTGTCACATCAACATTCTAAACCTTTAGTCTCTATAGTCTCTAACCACTCTGTAACTGTTTTATTTGATTTTAGTTCAATCTTTATATGATTTGGTGTGTTTTAGTTATTGTTTTACATTTACCATTCTTTTATTTATTATATTGTCAATGTTTATATCATTTTATCCTCATCATTTATTATTTTATATACGTATATATATATATATATATATATATATATATATATATATAATTTTTTTTTTCTAACTTCTCAACTCCTATTTCTTTAATCCCTGATTTTTGCATAGGCCTTAATGTACACCCTTAATGTAAATGAGGTCACCCTTAATGTACTCCGAATTGATTAATTTATTGAGGTTATAGCCTACTGCTGACATCAGTACAGTCATCGTCCTACATATAATACGCTCTTGTGGTAAAATCATAACAAGATCATTCTTCAGTGAAGACATCAGTTAAAATCGGACAGCTGATGCACATAACAAAGATGAATAAAACAACACCAGTAAACTTAAAAAAACAAAACCATCAGGCAGGCTAAAGCGTACTGCCGCTGCAGGAGTGAATTTTATTTATTTTTTTTTCACTTGTATATTTCCTTTGAAGTAGACAGATCACAGTCAACAACGCCTCCAGGCACATCTTGTATATCTGGTACTTCAAAATCAAAGTACATTAATAGAAACACTAGCTCAGAGTTTAAGAAAGTTTGACCAAAGTAATGGAGGATAGTGGAACATTTACTAAGCAGTGATTAAGACTGAAATTAGTTCATTTTTTTCCACTGTGCTGCTGTGAGTCAAAAGAGCTGTTTAAGTTTTGTCATAATTGCTTGTGGGGGCCCCCTAATGGCTCGGACCACTGTGCATGTACCCATAAAACCGACTGGATGATCTGGGCCCGACCGCTACTGTTTTTGTCTATTTTTATGGTCGTACAATGTCAGAAAATACATAAATAAACCTATTTGAGAATATGTAACAACTAAAGGGTTTAGGCTGGTGTATAATTTAGGCCTGTGGTTTCCATGGTGCTAATTGGTAAGTTATACGGTCGTATGCTAAAGTTAAAATGCAAAACATTAAAGGTGGCCTGTGCAAATGTTATGGCACCTTTATTAGTTTGTTTAATTTTGCACTAAAATTACATAACGTACAAATACAAAACAGTACAAAACATGTACTTTAACTAGGGGCGCACACACTTTTGTAAACACGTTTCCATTACTTGATTGCTTTATTAGCCATGTAGCCCCAGTGCTAAACTAAAGAAGCAAACTCCACACTGTCTCACACAATCATATGCTGCCCACACATTTAAGCACACAATGTGTTTAAAACTAATGTAGATGTTGCTGTAGCACCAAGCAGCCCACGCTTCTGTTTCCATTTGTAAATGAAAGCACGGTGGTTTACCAAACACTGAGATGACTCATTTCCTCCTTCCCGTCGTGTTAAGCCTTGATTTCTTTAAATGTCAGTAAATAACTGCATAATACGGTTTGTTTGTTGTGTGTTTCTTCTGTCACGTTATCACCCTTTCTCTCTCCTCTCCTAGCGTGCTCAAAGGCTACGCTGTCCAGCACCTTCCCGATGGCACCGTTATGGTAGAATCCATCGTCCTCAAAGTGTCCTCTTCTGGCGAAGACCCCAATCTTAAAGTCATTCTGCTCTCCTGGAGCTATCAGGTAAATCTAGAACAGTGGGCCACGCACACTGCGGTCAGGACTACAGGCAAAAATATACTGTACTACTTAATAATAAGCATTTCCCCCCTTTACCACATTGTTATGTACACTGTAACCACTCAGCAGATCAGATTTACACGGCTTTCTCAACGTCCCCAGTGTAGCCAGTCAGCCAAGACGTGTTGAGTGTCTGAAGTTCGCTTCTTTGGTTTTGCACTGAAGCTAAAATGATGGAATCTTTTGTCTTACCAGTTAGTTTTAGTGTAGCATCACAATAAATCATTTTCATATACAATACTTTGTTTTTCTGAGATTTGATAACTTAGAACAGACAAAAATTGGTTCCACAGTCAATGTAAAAACAAAAAATAAACAAAAAAAATAATAAGATAAGACACCCCTCCCCCTCCCGGTGGTCTAACTAATTTTGAAATTTCACCTAAATCATTGCATTTCAAAGAATTTAGCGGAATTTGTTGCTACAGAAACTTTTTGGCAACAGTTTAACTCTTTTGGATAATAGTGATTATGCATTTATAATAAGTCACACCAGAAAAGTTGTTAAATATATGAATATTGAGTTGTGGAGGGAGCAATACCTTTTGAATTTGAGAGGAAAATAAGATTTTGAGGTAAAAAGGTCAAGTTAGAAGTCCCACCAGACACAAGGCAGCCCCCACCCTAATCATCACACACTCATCACGTGTTATGTTGTTGAGAAATTCCAAATAGACTTGTTTATGTGATTTCTGACACTGTATGACAAACCATCTTAAAAAGTGTGCAGCTAAAAACAATAGTAGCAGCCACATTCTTGGTTGATTGACTACTTCTGTGGTAATTGATTGAAGGGTCATTCTACAGAAACGTGCACTTTTTTATCTATCCATGTGAGTGACATTTTCAATGAAAAATGCATTGTGCAAAAAAATGGTTGTTACAGAGCATCAAACCACATGTTGTGAATCATGGAATATCAACTAAAATATGTAATTTAATCCATATGTATTGTATTTTCTCAATTACCTAAGAATAAAGTAGGTCACACCAGTGACTTCAACTAAAAGCTTCATATGGAATCAGGAGCTAAATGAGAAATTCTGATAACTGAAAGACACAGTGGACTTACCTGTGCTTTTCTTCATACATCTTCAGAAAATAGGTAAAAGGAAGTCCAGTGATGTCATCAGTGTGACTTTTATTTTAAAATAAGAGATTTTTTGTTACGCAGTAACACCAGTGACATGACTCCTGGGGACCACAACTTTCACTATACATTTTATAATATTTATTTGACATTTGTTTTCGGCTTGTTATTTAAACCATATGTTTCATAGTCGTTTAGATTATTGCGGTTAAAATTGCAGAAAAGCATGTTTTTTTACTTCAAAATATGGCCTCACCCTTTACACATGACTGTGAGGACGAGCACTTCAGTGGTGCGTGGAATTAAATCGATTTAAAAACCAATATTGCTAAATTTAGATGGCTCAAGAAGGTGTAATTGTTAAAATAACTTATTGTTTTATTTTAAAATAGAAATAAATTGTAACCCTAACATGTTTTTCAAGGGACAGTAGGCGTTTCTGTAGAATGACCCTAAATCTGTTCTGTCACTTTCACAAACCTCTGTTCAGAGTTCAGAATGAACAGTTTGAGATTTAGGGGAAAAAAATCACGCTGGAATTTACAGCTATGTGACATTTTTAGTGAGAATGTGTGGAGCCGGTTGAAGGCGTTCACACGTCTCCTCCCACATGGCTACATTTGACCCTGAGTTTCCAGCTCAACACAACACATGCAGAGGTGGTACTAACTGTCAGCTTTTTCAGCTTATTCTTTTAATACTGTATTCATATCGTTTTAAAGGGTCCATATCCTCTATTTGTCTTGTATTTTTATTTTTTCCCCACTTATATCCACTTTTAATTCTTATGTGGTTTAGTTGTAGTTTTAGCTTGTTTGATTTAGATTTGCAGGGGCATTAAGAAACACTTCTGTAAATGCTCCAGTTTAGTCAGTTAACTGTCGTCCCTGGGCAGATACAAAAGGACAAAGACACTCATGAAATTACATAAAACATTAATGATGCATACAAGAGAGCATTTTATGTACCACATTTACAACGATACAAGACCACATTTTAGGTACCACAGTCATAATTCATTTATACAGGACCATTTTGAGTGTTTTTTGTTGCTGCACCTTTATATGTGGAAATGAGCTGTTCTGTTCTGATGGAAGTTGGACGGAAGAGCTTTTAATTTGTGAACACCTTTGTGAGATATTACTTTTTACTTTTTATTTATTAAAATATTTAATCACCTTTAGTGACCTAAAATGTCCTGATTTCTGTTTTTCTTTAGGATGAAGAACTGGGGAGTTTCTTGTCCAGTCTGCTTAAAAAAGGGCTTCCCTCAGGACTCTGATTCTATTGTGAATGCTTTTCTTTACTGCTGTTGTTGCAAATTGATTCAATAAACCTTTTGTAGAAAAATATTCCAGTCCAAGATGCATAAAAAGCACAAGTTACAGGAACATTAACTTCACAGTACAATTCAGCAGTACTTCAATCTACAACTCTATACATTGATATGAGGTTTATAATTACAGGCTGTAGGCCATCCGTAGCCCCATTCACTGGTCAGTTTCTGGTAACAGATGTACTGTTTAGTGGAATCCTAGAGAAATATTTACAGCAGATTTTTTCTTCATATTAAGTCACATTTGCTGTCATTGTTCTTGACAGTGCCTCACTGTCACTAGCTCATGGGGTCTGGGAGGGCTGGGTATCATGTATTCTTACGCAACCGATCGGAGGAGTTCAGCATTACTGAGTGTCAAAAAGTCACTCAATACTAAATACATAAGTAGTTGGCCTTCTCAGCACCAGTAAGCCAGTAATCATGCCTGTTCCCAAATCTAGACATGTGATTGGCTGTTTAAATTGCATGCTGTAAGCATGTTGGTAATATCAGCTGTCTGTTTACAAAATGTACATACAAACAGTCTGAACACCCAAACTACACCATCTTTAAATTACAACAGTGAAACTGGATGTTATGGTCCACCTAAACCTAGAGTCCAAAAAAGCCCCAGAAATGAATGTACATGACATTTAATTTTCTTTTTATACAGATCCATGTTTTCTTTTTTAAGTGTTTCATCTTCAAACCACCCCCAAGATATCAACTCCATTTTTTTTTTTACTGTATTTATGTTAATTTGCATGTATTCTAATGGTGTTTTTACGAGCACAAACACATTTATTGCCAAAAAAAATAGTTTAAAGTTAGTAAGGTGTCTAAAACTTTAGACGCCCCTGATCACATTGTGTTTTGTTGATTTTCTAAGTGGAAATACGTTAACACATCCATAACATAAAAGAACACACCTTTGTACACTTTAATGCATCAAATACTGTTTATTTGCTGAATTTAACACACTGGGGGGAAAAAACAAACTGTTGCCTGTGCAAAGGTTTTGGCACATTTCTACATTTTATGTACTCTTTTTGTATCTTCAAAAAATGAACTTTTCAGGAGGGAAAAACACATTCTTAACTTTTTTCAATGTAAGTTAATGTAATAAGATTTCATGGTCATTTTGGACCATTTTATTGGTCCATTTGTCATGAAATTATCACAGTGAAAGTGGCAACAAGCAAGAAAAACCTGAGACAATGATATTTAAGCCATTTATCTGGACAGTAAGTATTTTTTGCCAGGAAAAAAAAACAAATTACAACATTTAAAAAAAAAAAACAGCATTAGAAATATTTCTTGATTTTTATGTATGTTAATGTGTTGGTTTAACCTTTTCCAAACCTTTCCTCATGCCAGCTCAGTAGTATTTGTAGTTGTCTTTCACTACCTGGTTTTGTGATGACTGGGGACATCGAGGACAAATCTGGAACCAAACGTTTTATTCTTCCAAGCAAAAGACAGTAACTGTGTTTTTGAAAACAAGAAATCATTACTTTTTACTGCATTCATGTTTGTTTGCATTTATTCTAATAATATAGTTTTTTTTTTTTTTACAAGCAAAAAGCAGTTACTGTCCAGACAAATGGTTTTAAACAAATTGCTTGACTTTTGCACATTACAGCATTACTCTATACTGTATATAAAAGAAGTGTAGTATGAACAAGGAATCTGCATCGGAGCCAAGGTCTTGGTGTTGGTATCTGTATCAAGCCTTGACTGATACCCAGCCCCTAATAGTGGTTCTGGATGTTTTGATTTCTCTAAATCCCTGCAGTACAATCATTAGGTAATACATCATGTAACTCTTTTAACACTTTCTTGCATCTTGTGCCACAGTACTTAACTATACAACACAGCAGAGTGTCCTCATATTATCAAATGTCTGTAATTTCTACCACTCTCAAGTCATCAGAGATGGCATAGATGTCTGGGCTTCAGCCATCTGAAGTTACATTTAAATCTCCACTTGCCACGGCCCATGGAGAAGCAGTAGACCATGAGGTCCCCCATTAGGGCCTGTAGGTCCTGTTTTTGGGCAGACAAGAACTCTGGATGGTTCTTTTCTTGCAATGGTTACTCTGCCTTTTTAGGCAATTCATGAAAGACCAGGTGTACTTGTTTTGAAGACCCCACTATGGTTTACCGTCCTGCTTGATTGACCACTGAAGTGAAGTCATTTCCACCAGTGGTCTTTTAAGTTGTCGGAGATGGTGTAGACACCCCTCCTCCTATTCAGCTTCAGCCACCTGAAGTTCCATTTAAAGGTCCACTTGCAGCGGCCTGTCGCAAAGTAGTAGAGCACTGGGTCCAGCACACTGTTAATGCTGACCAGAGCCATGGTCACCCGCCGAACCTTGTAGATGACGTTTGCTGCCAGGCAGTTAGTGATGATTTTTGTGCGCCACAGGAGGTGCAGCAAGTGGACCACATGGTAGGGCAGGAAGCAAAGGACAGTGATGGCCAGGATGGCATAGATGACCCTCAGAGCGCTACGGGCCGTGGCTGTCTTGATGCGCGCAATCCGCCGAGCCACCAGAGGGTAGCAGACCAGGATGACTATTGAGGGCAGCAAGGCACCGAAGACCAGGCTGAAAGTGCTGTACGGCACCAGGCTGGTCAACCACTCGTCCTGCGTGAAGTTCTCGAAGCAGTTCCTGCGCTTTGTCCCATTACTTTGGGTCGCAGGAGTGCCCAGCGGGCAGGTCACCATGAAGGTCAAGGCTGCCAGACCGGTGACCAACCAGACCCCAGCCGTCACCATTTGGGCCCACCGAGTGTTCCTCAACTGCAGGTACGTATGAGGGTGGATAGTAGCTATGTAGCGGTCAAGGCAGATGCAGGTCATGAAGGCGATGCTGATGTAGATGTTGGCATAGAAGACCGTCCCCGTGACCCGGCACATGACATCCCCGAATACCCAGTCGTTCTCGTTCAGGTGGTAGTGGACACGGAACGGCAGAGCGCACAGGAAAACGGTGTCGGCAATGGCCAAGCTGATGATGTAGACATTGGAAGGAGACTTCTGGTCCATTTTGAAGAGGAAGATGTAAAGGGCCCCCAGGTTGCCCAGCAATCCCAAGGTCATCGCCAGGGAGTAGGTTATTGGGAGGAGGTAGAACTGGAAATCTGCTGTAAAATTGACGCAGTCTGCGGTGTTGGAGGTGTTCATCTTTGGAGCATTCAGTGTCTTTGAGTGCCTTCTTTTGTGATCTCCTAGCATTGAGGGAAAATAGGCACTAAATTTAATGTCACAGTTGATCATACTGATGAATACATAACACAGATCAGTACATTTCAAGCTCTGGTCTACTACTATGGTCCACTGTAGATGCTCAACTAGGCTTTAATGGAGTTTTTTTTCCAAAATTTCAGTTGAGATGTAAACAAAAAGTTTGATGGAAAATGTGCCACTTTAGAAATATTTGGTCAGAATTGTTCACAGGGGTGGGGATAAGTAGCAGATGTCTGGATGGGTACATGCAGGGCATTGTAAGGCAAAATAGTCCTTAAAAAAAATCTTTGGATTTTCAACTATTTTCCATTATTCCATATATATCAACATTATATATCATTGCTGTCCAAAAATTTCAACATTTATCATTTGAACACAGCAGCCGTTCTTTACATTAGAACAGAAATTGTCCAAAAATACTTGGAAAACATCTCATTGCATTAAAAGTAAAAAGTAAAAAAAACACCTTTAATCATTTTAGAGAGACTTCTTTTTTTGTTGTTGTTTTTTTATTATTATTATTATTATTTTACAGCTATTATATAAACATAAAACAAGTGTACATTCCCTGGTAGTATCCAGTAAATAAACTATATAAAATGTATTTGAGCTATATTTGACTTGAGGTTTTTAAGCTAGACGTTTTGTTGTAGACGTTGCGACCTCTGGTTCCTATCATCTCCGCTGTAAAGAGTTGGTAAGTTTCTTTACAATGAACCATTTCACGTCAAACCACTCTGAATGACTCTGTTTACATCACAGTGATTGTATTATGCACAAATATTAAAACTCAGTGAAATTCCCTATTTAACCAACATTCAAGTAAATAGCTACTAACTTCATCTTGACTTTCCCATAACCCTAATTTTTTTTACCTCAACTTAAAAACTTACCCTAACCCTGATCCTAATGCGAACCCAAACGCTGCTGATAATCAAGTACATGTCACCAGATTGCTTTGAGCATTTGTGGATAAAATTTCTTTCTTTCTTTCTGACAGACCACCTGGTTAGACTAGTGTAAGGTGCCGACTGTAGTGTGCTCAACTCAAGCCAGCGCACAGAAAGCACTCCAGTCAAGGTTTCCTGTAGAGTTAAACAAAGGAAAACAAGGAGTATAGATAATGAAGATCTACTCACAAGGGTCTAAGGGGTTTCAGCATAAACAAATCCTAAAAAGCGATAAAACACTTCAGTGCAAAGACCCCGAGGCAGGTGGCCCGTTCTGACTGTGTCTTCAGCTGCCTCGTGCCTCGACTGGTGGAAAACATTTATGTGGTTCACAAACTATGAAGACAGGAAATCATCAGAGAAACTCCCCCCCACCACCCGTGCACTGAAAACAACACGAGGAAGTCTGAAAGTGTTACAATAGGTGAGGGTCAGGCTGTCTCACCCACATTAATTCTGTTCCATTTTCAGCCGGAGGCCGACTGAGGTGGAAATGAGACTTTTAGAGGCCCAAAACTGTGGTCGAAGAGTCAGCAGGTGAAGTGGAGTAGACTATTGCTGTCTGCTGTATATATACTACAATATACTTACTGGCCACTGACAGCTAGCTTATTGGTACACTTTGTAGGTGTGTGTTTGGAGACTATAGCTTGTCTTTTTCCACGCACAGTTTGCTTTAGTCATTCTCTAGCACCTCATCAGTGTTCAGTTTCCACTGCTGGCTGGATATTTTTGGTTGACAGACCACCCTCGACCCAGCAACAACACTGAAACTGTGTAGAAACCACAGCAAAGCTGCTGTGCCTGAAACACTCATACAAACAGGTACTCACACATTTTTTGTTACTTTAAATGTTTAAAAAATGAAATTGATAGAGAAAACTGTATGCAGACCCTCTATTATACACTATAGGCCAAAAGTAGTAAAACATTTCTGTGGTTCACAAACAATGAAGACAGGAAATCATCAGAAAAACTCCCCCCACCACCCTTGCACTGAAAACAGCATGACGAAGTCTAGAAGTGTTACAACAGGTGAGGGTCAGGCCGTCTCACCCACATTAACTCTGTTCCATTTTCAGCCGGAGACCGAATGAGGTGGAAAGGAGACTTTTAGAGGGCCAAAACTGTGGTCGAAGAGTCAGCAGGTGATGTGGAGTAGACTATTGCTGTCTGCTGTGGGCTGTGTGACCGCAGAGCAGTAGCTAGGTGATCGAGCAAGATTAGATCATCACACAAGATTATTTACTTCACTGCAGGTAAGGACAATAAGACAACTAAGCAACGTATCGTTTGAACAAAACCTTGTATCTCCAAAAAGGTAACTTTACAGGATGAGGAAAAAACATCCTTAACTTTTAATTGAAGAGAATGGAACCATGTCAATTTAGGCCATTTCTTCACCATGTACAGGCCAATGGGCACCTCCAAATCATGAAAAAATTGAATGCAAGGTTTTGCTCAGACAGCAACAATATACTTACTGGCCACTGACAGCTAGCTTATTGGTACACTTTGTAGGTGTGTGCTTTGGAGACTATAGCTTGTCTTTTTCCACGCACAGTTTGCTTTAGTCATTCTCTAGCACTTCAGCAGTGTTCAGTTTCCACTGTTGGCTGGATATTTTTGGTTGACAGACCACCCTCGACCCAGCAGTGACACTGAAACTGTACAGAAACCACAGCAAAGCTGCTGTGCCTGAAACACTCATACAAACAGGTACTCACACATTTTTTTGTTACTTTATATGTTTAAAAAATGAAATTGATAGAGAAAACTGTATGCAGACCCTCTATTATACACTATAGGCCAAAAGTAGTAAAGTGGGCCCCTTAAGTATCACACTTACATAAGCTTGTTGGACATTCAAAAACCATGGGCACTAATATGGAGTTGGACCACATTATCCTTCACTGGAACTCTGGAACTAAGTGGCTGAACCCAAACCCTGAAAAAACAGCCCCAGATCATTAATCTCCTCCACTCAACTTTACTGTTGGCACTGTGCATTCCGGTAGGTAGCATTTTCCTGGCATTCGCCAAATCCAGATTCGTCCAGATTGTCAGATAGTGAAGAGGAACTCCAGAGAACACGTTTCCGCTGCTCCAGAGTCCAGTGACGCATGCTTTACACTACTCCAGCCAGCACTTGGCATTGTGCATAGTGATCTCAGGCTTGTGTGCAGCCAATTGACCATGGAAACCCATCTCATGAAGCTCCTGATGTACAGTCCTTGTACTGATGTTGCTTCCAGAGGCATCTCTGAAAGGAGCAGTGCAACAGAGTGTAGCATGCTATGCACATCAGCACTCAGCAGCCCCACTCGGTGAGTTTGCATGGTGTACCACTTTGTGGCTGAGCTGTTGTTTCTGCTAAATGTTTCCATTATACAATAAAAGCACTTACAGTCTTACCGTGGCTATACACATGCACACATATATATATACACACAACCCCATTTTCCAAAAAAAAGGTTGGGATGTTGTGTAAAATGTTAATAAAAACAAAATGCAATAATGTGCAGATCATGTAAACCCTATATTTCATTGAAAATAGTACAAAGACAACATATCAAATGTTGAAACAGAGAAATTTTATTGTTTATTGAAAAATATTTGCCCATTTTGAATTTGATGCCAACAACACGTTCCAAAGAAATTGGGACAAAAGGCTGGTAAAGTTGTGTAATGCTAAAAAACACTTGGTGGTTAATTGGCAACAGGTCAGTAACATGATTGGGTATAAAATGAGAGGCTAAGTCTTTTAGAGGTAAAGATGAGGAGGGGTTCACGACTATGTGAAAGACTACATGATCAATAGTGCAACAATTCAAGAATAAAGTTTCTCAATGTAAAATAGCATTAGATATAAAATAGCATATCTACGGTACATAATATCATTAAAAATTTCAGAGAGTCTGGAGAAATCTCTGTACGCAAGAGGCAAGGCCAAAAACCAGTATGTGCTGGCCATGATCTTCTGGCCCTCAGGCGGCACTGCATTAAAAACAGACATGATTCTCTAATGGAAATCACTGCATGGACCCAGAAACACTTATGAAAACCACTGTCTGTTAACACAGTTCATCACTGCATCCACAAATGCAAGTTAATACTCTAAAATGCAAAGAAGAAATCATATATAAGCAGGATTCAGAAATGCTGCCACCTCTCTGGGCCCAAGCTTATTTAAAATGGACTGAGGGGGGAAGTGGAAAAGTGTCCTGTGGTCCGATGAATCAACATTAGAAATTCTTTGTGGAAATCATGGACACTGTGCCCTTTGGCCTAAAGACCATTCAGCTTGTTATCAGTGCACAGTTCAAAAGCCAGTATTCATGATGGTACAGGGGGACATTAGTGCACATGGCATGGGTGAGGTGCACATCTAAGAAGGCACCATTAATGCTTAATGATATATACATGTTTTGGCAACATATGCTGCCATCCAGACTACGTCTTGCTTATTTCATAAAGACAATGTCAAACCACATTATGCGTAAATTACAACAGCATTGCTCCGTATTAAAAGTGTCCGGGTGCTAAACTGACCTACCTGCAGTCCAGACCTGTCACCACTGATAACATTTGGCGCATTATTAAATGAAAAATACAACAAAGGAGATCCTGAACTGATGAGCAGCTGAAATCCTATATTAAACAAGAACAGAAAACATTTCACTTTCAGAACTACAGCAGTGTCTCCTCAGTTCCCAAACGCTTACAGAGTGTTGTTAAAAGAAGAGGTGATGAATCACAGTGGTAAACAGGCCCCCGTCCCAACTTTTTTGGAATGTGTTCCTGGCATCAAATTCAAAACGGGCATATATTTTTCAAAAAACAATAACATTTGTCAGTTTCATCATTTGATATGTTGTCTTTGTAGCATTTTTCTTCAAAAATATGGTTTACATGATTTGCATATCATTGCATCCTATTTTTATTTACATTCTGCACAGCGTCCCAACTTTTTTGGAAATGGGGTTGTATACATATATATATATATGTAGAAAGAAGAAAACATCATATCTCCATTTTTGACGTTTTTCAGTTTTTGACATAATTTGAAAATGCCTGTTGCCCTTTATATTGTGTGTGAATTTCATGATGAATGGACCAAATATATATCAGGATTTCGTAGATTAAATCCACCTGAGAGTCTGAACATGTGTGTAATGAAAGGGATAAGCTTAAAAAAATCTCACCTTTTTATACAAAAGTATATTTATATTTATATACATATATATGTATATATGGTAGGTGTTGCTGATAAAATGTGCAGTGAATGTAGGTACAATGTAAGTCTACCTCATAAACTGGCAACCAGATGTGGGTAGTAACTAGTTATGTTTAGTACATGTATAAAGTAAAATTTTGATGGATTTGAGCTCTCCTGAGTATTTTCAAATAAATACTTTTACTTCTTCTCAAGTATATTAGTGAGTAGAGAAAGCTACTTTTGACTCGACTCATATTTAGTTTCTAATTCTTTTTTGTGTTTAATTTCATTCTGTTGACAACATCTGCACTGCTTTGTGATTTGTCAGTCTTCTGACTTTAGCATTTTATATTAGACCAAAATAACCTGAAAAAGAGAAGAAATAGAGTCGAACAATCTGTTGATAGATGCTACCCTAAAGCCTTTGTACTGGGATTGGGATGTAGCAGAATACAAGTAGTGGGAATATGTATTCAAAATACAGAAATTAGTATCCACATAAAAAAAGTATCCACATTTAGTCCATGTTGCATTTTGTAAAGTCAAAATTCAGAATAAAGTTACGTTTTACATCTTTAGGAGAAAACTTTTGTAATACTTACCCGCTTAGTAAAAACATACAATCTTTAAAAGAAACACCATCAATTCTGGTTTATAAACTATGGCATGAAGCAAACGTGCTCATTAGACGAACCCAAAAGAGGACGAACAATTAATCACTTCTGAACAACACTGAAGGTCCTGCTCAGGTCCCTGCCTGAGTAGACTGATAAAAAGTGCCTTTCCAAGACTGTCATTGTAAACATTTTCTGAATGTATTCAGAATTTTTTCATGTACTGTTACAGAATACAATATTGAATACATTTAGGGCAGTGTGTTCAGTATTCAACCATCACTACTTTTGTAAAGTATTTTGCCCAGACCTGTTTGTATTTCTACTCAAGTTGTTTTCTGGGAAGGTATTAAGTATTTAGTGTAAGTATTAGGTTGAGTAGTAGGCTACTTTACTGAGTGGGGTGTTACTGCATGCTGGGAAACCTCTAAATGGGAGGGGTATAACTCCAAATGGGTGGACTACAGCT